CACACACACACACATACATACAATATATTATACTATTAGCATAGTACAATATCAGTATTATATATTACTATATTGTACTATATCATTATATTGTAATATTATTAGTAATATTACATGTAATATAAAATATATAATTATAGTATCATATTATTAGTAGTATTATATTGTATTATAATATTTATAAATTTTATTATAATTTTATTATAAATATATGTATATACAATATATTACCTTACATTACTTCAGAAATAAAGAAATAAAAATGAAAACAAAACAAAAAGAAAAGAAAAGCAGAGAAATAGGATAGGTGGCACTTGGCTTGACAGCAGTACATGTGAAAGAGATCAAGGAGTCGTGGTAGACTAAAAGCTGAACATGAGTCACAGTGTGATGCGGCAGCTCAAAAAGCCAATGTGATTTTCTGCTGCATCATTAGGAGCATTGTGTCAATACCTGAAGGAAGAAACAGAACCACTCTATTCTGCTTTGGCCAAACTTCACCTGGAATATTGTGTCCAGTTCTGAGCACTACAATATGAGAAAGACATTGACATGTGGGAACATATCTAGAGGAGAGTAACCAAAATGATCAAAAACCTGGAAACCATGCCCTATGAGGCATACTTTAGGGAAATGGGTATGTTTAGCCTAGAGAATAGAAGGTTAAAAGGTGAAATGGTGGCCAGGTTTAAATATATGAAAAAAGATGTCATATTAAAGACATTTGTTTTCTGCTGCTTTAGAGACTAAGACATGGACAAATGGATTCAAACTGCAAGAAAAGGGATACCATTAAACATTAAGGAAAACCTTCTGGTGGTAAGAGTTTTTCAACAGTGGAATATGCAGCCTCAGAGTGTGGTGGAGTACTCTCAAACTGCTTCACTGAGCTTAGCAGATAAATCATTCAGGTATCTCAAAGAAATGTTTTCTGGAATTGGCAATTCAAGTAAGAACAGAACCACCATAATGTAGTACCTCCAGTACCTATGCCAGACAGCTATACCAGAAAACATTATCATTGATAGAATCAAGATCTGCAGATGTTCAGGAAAAAAAAGGGCCATACTTCTGACCCCTTCTGGCATTGGTGATCAACCATATTTTGTTCAGCGATGAAACCATATTAAAATGTATAGAGTTAATTTAGGAATGCTTGAGGCCATATGATATCCACACCTTCAATCAATTTGCTCAAGAAGAGAATATCTGTAGCATGTGAAGAAATACTATCTTCACTGGCAACTTCATAATCTGATTTTCAGAGTTCTGTGGCTACTTCCTTTTCCAAGGAGGCATTTGATTTTTCTGAATTAAGTCATTCACTCCCACCTTGCATAATGTTATGAATATAAAGAGCAAGCAAACAGGTCATATGCCCTCAGTTTCTAGCAACTATTGAAAGGAACAAGTAGGATGGTGTTTGATAACAGGGGTTTGATATTTCATATCGTATTTGGGAATTGGGTCCTTATCCTGAAAAGGCCAAGGACTACAGCACTGTTAAATAGTTCAAGTTGGAATTCTTCAGAATTATATTTATAAAGCTGTAAACATTAGTGCTAAGTAACTGCTGTTTTCAGTTTGATTTGCTTAAGAAATTGTACAACTTAAATGTTTAAAGAACAAGTTGTGTTAGATTCTTGCAGCATACAACATCTGAAGTATATCCAAGAAATCTCAGGCAAAAATAAAAACCAGTTCGTATTAAAGATGCTGCTACATTCCTCCACCCTAACTCCTCCCTATTTTTTTAAAACAATATTTAGTAAACTTTTAAGAACAGCCATGTTTACTTTGGATCAGAATTGTCCAGCTTGGATTTCATCTCATTAAAATCCTTCAAGTATGAACTGTGCACTTGACAATGAATTACAAGAAAGGTTAGTTCACAAACATAAAAGATTTCAGTCAGGCAATTTCAGAACTTGCTATGCTCAGCATGACATACTTGCCTGAAACCAGAGGAGCAAAGGGATAGCAAGGTTCAGGGTTTTGACTGTGTTGTTTATTTTATTTTTTATTTTTAAATTGCACACAATCCATAGACCAAGGCAGCAAAATAGGCTTTAAAAACCCTCAAGATTGTGAAGGCATCTCCCTTGCACAGATGCAAAGCAACATATATTTCCCAAGAAATCAAACTTTTGGAATCTGAATTAATGCTGTTAATAAACAATAAAGAGGTGGAAGTGGAAATGGAAAGATGAAAGAAGCATCAATCACAAGAAGTAGATTTCAAAGTAAAAACAGGATATGAAAAAATCCGGTATAGGCCTCAACAATAAAAAAAATTCAAAGGAGTTTTTAGGGTAGATTGCATTTTATGGAAAAGAAGGCTTCAAAAGACATGGCAGACTTCTTAACCAGAAGACTTTTAAATTGTATTTGGGGGATTTTGGTTATCTTCTCGAAGCCCACTTTAGCAGGTTTTGAAACTGACAAATGATTGCATATTCCCAGGGTACTAGCAAATGTATATTAGTATGCTCAGGCTGATATACTCTTTTCTTGGCCTTTTGAAACACAGTAATTATATATACCTATAGCCAGTTTAGAACATGTAGCCTCAGTTTTCCTGCCAGCACTATATTCAAATCTCATTCTGTCCTTCCCCTCTCTGTTATTACTCATTTATTTATTCCATCCTTTAAAAAAGTGATATACCTTCATGATAGACTTTAACTCTCACTTGAAAATTGTCCTGATTTGAATCTTCTCACTACTGTTCCCCATTCTCAACACTCACTTCCAAGTAGTCCAACAGTTACAAGACTACTATGACCAACTACTTGCCAAATATGAATTACGTTCAGTTATGCCGTTCTTCATTAATGAAACTCGGGAGCACTTAAGAGTAACATCACTAGGGGAACATCACTAGGAGAGTCATGTGTAAATCAACAAGCAATTGTCAAGTGTGTAAGTAACTATAATCTTGACAATTGCTTGCTAATTTACACATGCCACACATGCAAACTCAATTACAAAGCTATAGATTCTAAAAACTTATCAAAGTTCTGGATTATGTGGGCTTCCTGCAAATTGATTAGATAGGCTGTTCAAGGAGGGCTTTTCTCATATGAAATGGAATAAGTGTCCCATGTCTCTTTGCCAGACATAAATAAATGTAAAGCATTATATATGTTAAAAGTGCACAGTCTAAATTGCAATATACATCACTTTAAATAAACCAGTAATCCACAGACACTGTCACAGAGAAATATAATGTGGTCATTTTATCATGAGAAAAAACTTCTTCTATGATGCTCATTTTCCTTTTCTTTCTGAAATCTCCCAAATGCATCCAATAATACCCATGTCTCCCAGGACTGAGAAGGTTAAAGAAAAGAATTGAAGTGCCTAAGGAATGTTGCCTTAAAACAGGGCTGAACTTTGACACTTTCTCAATCTGCCCCTTGAAGTCTCTTAATGTTTGCTTCCTTGTTACTGAATGCACAAAGCACTATAGGATTAGAGCTCTCCCCATATGCAGTTGCCCATATTTTACATCATAACAATGGATATTGAGGCTGCACTAGTTCACATAGAGAGGCGTAGAAGCACTTGAGAAAGTGCTGAAGATGAAGTCTGGAGATGGGTTGGGAGGTATGCGAATGATGATGGAGGGGCCATATCTCATAAAATATCACGTTAGCTGGAAAATGAGGGGTCGTGGTGGGGACAGCTCAACCTAGAAGAAAGAATGGCAAGAAATGTACCACACACAGTTAAAGCTGTAGTTGACAGTGGAGCAGGAATTAGCCAGAGCAGGGGGAAGAGTTTCATACAGTGGAGGGATGCTCCTCCAGAAAGTCTTATCTGTGGTTCTGGAGAGGGGCTCATACACTGCCATCCATCGATTCAGTGGGTGTCATTGGGCCTGGTGTCCCCCAGTCTAGCAGAGTATAATGCCACTTCCCCAATAACAACCAGCACAGAATCCTTAATGATGATGTTGAAGGCTTTCATGGCCAGAATCACTGGGTTGCTGTGAGTTTCACGGGCTGTATGGCCATGTTTCTTAATAATGTTTTTTTTGTACTAGCTGGAATGTGTCCAGAGGAGGGTGACTAAAATGATCAAGGGTCTGGAGAAAAAGCTCTATGAGGAGTGGCTTAAAGAGCTGGACATATTTTGTTGTTGTTCATTCGTTCAGTCGTTTCCGACTCCTCGTGACCTCGTGGACCAGTCATGGACATCTTTAGCTTGCAGAAAAGAAGCCTAAGAGGAGACATGATGGCTATGTATAAATATGTGAAGGGAAGTCATAGTGGGGAGGGAGCAAGCTTGTTTTCCGCTGCCCTGGAGACCAGGACATGCCAACAATGACTGGAAACAACAGGAATGGAGATTCCACCTGATCATTAGGAAGAACTTCCTAACTGTGAGAGCTATTCAGCAGTGGAACACTGCTCTGGAGTGTGGCAGAGACTCCTTCCTTGGAGGCTCTAAACCAGAGGCTGATGGCCATCTGTTGGGGTGCTTTGAATGTGATTTTCCTGCTTCTTGGCAGGGGATTGGACGGGGTGGCCCACAAGATCTCTTCCAACTCTATGATTTTAACGTGCAAACATAGTCCCTGTAGATCACTGCATTTAATAACAGAACCAGGTATGTTTTCATTGACAGCAACGAAACAAGAATGTGATTGTAAACAAAACCACGTGATTTGGAGTGCCATAGTAGTTGGGTAATAATGATAGCTCTGACTGGAGTGCTTTATGAGGTTCAGGAAGGAAAGGAGTCTGAAGCAGGCACGGGCAAACTTGGGCCCTCCAGGTGCCTAACAGCCGGCAAACTGTCTAAAACACCTGGAGGGCCGAAGTTTGCCCGTGCCTGGTGTAGACACATTCCTGTTGGACCACTGCACCCGCCCCCCCCCTCTGAGGGTGTCACGTGGCCCCCATTCCCCCTCCGGTGATAGTATGATAGCTGGGTTTCTCTCTCTCTCTCTCTCTCTCGGAGGAGGAGGCAGTCAGGGCGGGGACGGCGCTCACCTGGCTGACGATGGTGGCGAGGTAGGGCTCGGTGGCGTACTCCCAYCCGTCGAGGCAGGGCTCCTGCGGGAGGGCGGCCAGGTCCACGTCCGCCGGGAGCAGCCCCTGGGCCGAGAGGTTGGCCAGGGCGCGGAGGCTGAAGCGCCGGCACCGCGCCGCCCCCTCCCGCCCGCCGTGCTCCTCCCGCGGGGCGCTCGCGTTGAGCCAGGCCGCGCTCAGGTTGGCGCCCTCCGGGATGCGGCAGCGGTGCTCGGGGATGCCGGCCAGGAAGACGGCGGAGAGGCCGTTGAAGCCGTTGGGGATGATGCTGGCGCTGAGCAGGAAGAAGACCAGCCGCTGGAAGGGGCCCCACTCGCCCAGGAAGGCCACCATGTCGTCGTAGTCCCGCATGGCGAGCGCGCCCGAGGGGCCCAGCGGCACGAAGGACCGTTGCCGGAGCCGCAAGGCGCACACTCCCACCGCCGAGCGCGCCTGGAAGAGCCACAGCGGTTGCCGCCGCCTCCCCGCCCCTGCCGCTTGCCCTTTGCCGTCGCCGGGCTCGGCCATGCCTCCCAGGCGGGCCTCCCGGGCCAAGCGCCGCCTTCGCCAGGCACGCCTCTCAGGCAGGAAGGGAGGAAGGAAGGGAGGGAGGGCAGGGAGCGGAGGCGGGGCCGGCCTCCAGGGGGCGCCACGGACCGGCCCCGCCGAGCGAGCCTGGGAGGGAGAGACGGAGAGACGGAAGCCTCCTTCTGGGCCGAAGCCCTCGCCAAGCCAGGCCTGCTTCTGACAGGAACCCCTCAGAGGCACCGGAAGTCCCACCAGCCACAGCCGATGGGCCTCAGAGGCACCGGAAGTCGCACGAGCCACAACAGTTGGGCCTCAGAGGCATCAGAAGGATAGAATCATGGAATCATTGAGTTGGAAGAGACCTCGAGGGCCATCCACTGGGACTGCCAAGCCCCTGCCACAAAGCAGGAAAATCGCCTTCAAAATACTCCCGACTGGTGGCCATCTAGCCTCTCTTTCACAGTCTCCAAAGAAGGAGCCTCCACCACACTCCGCGGCAGAGAGTTCCACTGCTGAACAGCTCTCACAGTTAGGAAGTTCTTCCTCATTTTGAGGTGGAATCTCCAAGAGCTACAGCAGTTGGACCTCAGAGACATCATCAGTCCCACAAACTACAGCTGCTGGGCCTCAGGGGCACTGGAAGTCCCACAAGCCACAACAGCTGGCCTCAGAGGCACCGGAAGTCCCACAAGCCACAGCTGCTGGGCCTCAGAGGCACCGGAATCATAGAATCATTGAGTTTGGAAGAGACCTCGAGGGGCATCCACTGGGACTGCCAACCCCCTGCCAAGAAGCAGGAAAATTGCATTCAAAGCACCCTGACAGATGGCTATCCAGCCTCTGTTTAAAAGTCTCCAAAGAAGGAGCCTCTACCACACTCCAGGGCAGAGAGTTCCACTGCTGAACAGCTCTCACAGTTAAGAAATATTTCCTCATGTTGAGGTGGAATCTCCATGAGCCACAGCAGTTGGGCCTCACAGACACTGTAAGTCCCATGAGCCACAGCTGCTTGGCCTAGCTGGGCTCACTACTCAGGTAGCAATTGGCAGAGGTCTCTGAGGTTCTCATGGAATACTTCTGAGAAATACTGTCACAGGTTGGATTCTCTGCCTGCCCCTCAGGCTGGATCTACAGTGTCATACAATCCAGTTTCTGATCCTAAGTTATCTGCTTTCAGCTAGTCTACACTGCCATATAACCCAGTTCAAAGCAGATAATTGTGGATCAGAAACCGTATTTTGCATGGCACTGTAGATCGAGCCTGAGAGAGAAGTGTGAAAAATAGTCCAGTTGATCCTATGGGGGCTTTCACCAATGCTTTGCAAAGTGAGTCATAAACACAGTAGCAGTTTCGTATGAAAGATTACATTTGAAATCCATAAAAGAGGAAGGAGGTTCGTGGTCCGGATTTTCGTTCTTGCGGCGCACAGGTTGAGAAACCCTGCTCAAAAGTAAAGTAATTGCAAACTTCTCTGAGCAAACCCTGCCAAGAAATCCCCATGTTGACTTGCATCAGCCCCATGAATTTCAGAGTGTTTTTAGGCAAGGAATACTGAAGAGGTGTTTTTGCCATTTGCTTTGTCTGAAATGTGGCCTGCAGCGCCTGCTATTCATTGGCAGTTTTCCATCCAAGTGCTGACTGGAGCTGACTCACCTTGGCTTCCAGGATCAAGTGGGTTCTGGTATACTTAGAATATTTAGGTCACCTGTTTCTACATAAATGTAAAAATATTTCTACATTTAGGCCACCTGTTTCTACAAGCATATTTAGATTGTAAGCCTGATGGCAAATTAACGCTTTCTTTGTAGCTGAAGAGCAGGATATAAATCATCCAAATAAATACATACAGGATAATTTTCCATGTGCAGCAAGGATGGGGAAGTGCAGTGAAGCAGCATATCACTCCTCTGGGCCACCCAGAGGCCAAACCTATTTTTGTAGTTTTGAATGTTTTTATTTGCTCCAAAAGGCCCAAACACTCTCTTTTTGTTTGCCAAGGAGACATAAGACGCAAACCTCTAAAAAGGGCATTGTAGGGCTTGGCTATTGAAATTCCTAGCAAGGTGCATTTGGGGCTCTGTGAATTTTTTCTTCCACGGGACAAAGTTGCAGGTCCCAGTGCCATGCACTTACATTCACAATTGCAGCACAAGAGCCCCAGCAAAGCACCCTGTGTATTTAACCCTATGTGAGTTCAGCATTTTATGGTTCATATACAACAGAGTATAAAGAATGCATTGGCTTCCAACTAATTTAGTTACTCTGGTATAATTAAGAGTTGCTGGAGATGTGGAAATTTGTCGCAATCAAATCCTAAGTCCACAAGCTATCTGTGAGAAAGCCTGAGAAAAAGCTGGCATCTTGTCCTACTGAATAGAAATCGATCTGCTCTTCCACTGCTAGTAACATTGTTATTTGGGACTTTGGGAACATGCCTTTACTATATGAATTCATGCCCATATCATAGGAAAAGGTATATATTTTCAACAAAGAATAGAAAACAAAACAATAGTCCACATTGGGATCCCCAATGAAAGGAAACACAAGGGACTGCAGTAACCACAGGCCATTGCAGTAATTTCCTGTGAAAACAAAATGATGCTCAGCGTTTAGATGTCCAAAATGGGATTAGGAAAGGAAGAGGCACTAGGGATTATATTACAGAGACATTGCATAACGGAGTGAACAACAGAATTTCAAAGAAAAATCAGCCTGTACTTTATAGAAAAGCCTTTGATTATATAGATCAGTGTCTCAAATTCTGTTCCTACAGATGTTTTGGACTTCAGTTCCCACAATTCCTAACAACTGGTTTGATGGCAGAGATTTCTGAGAGCTGAAGTCCAAAACATCTGAAGGAGCAGTTTGAGAAACACTGGTATAATTATGAAAAACTTGGGTGGGTGTGCCACACATTTGCTTGTCGTTATTTGTAACCTGTACTTAGGACAAGAGGCTACTGTTAGAAACTGTTTGGTTTCTAGTTGGCAAGGTCAGGCAAGGCTATATTTTATCACCATATCTGTTTAACTTGTAAGCGAAACATATGTAAAGCAGGATTAGATTTAGGCCCCTCCTACACTGCCAGATAATCCAGGTTATTAAAGCAGAAAATCCACATTATCTGATTTGAACTGAATTATCTTCCTACACTGCCATATAATCCACTTCAAAGCAGATAATGTGGATTTTATATAGCCTGTGGCAAGAGATGTGAAAATTGGAGATGCAGATGACATAATATTTGAATAAAATAGTAAAGATGTGGAATGATTTCTGAATAAAATCAAGGGGAATAATGCAAAAAGAGGTTTATTGTAGAACATTTTAAGAAAACAAAAATAATGAACATAGATGATTTACATAACTTTAACAGATGATGAAGACATTGACAAAGTTCAAGATTTTCCATAACTTGTCGCAATTTTTAATCAGCATATAGATGGCAATTAAGAAACTAAAAGATTAAGACTCGGAAAGGCAGCTATAAAGGAAGTAGATAAGATCATGAAGTATATATTATTGAATATCAAAGGTTAGACTGTTAGAATAAACTATGGATGCCGAACTTTGACCACATTACAAGAAAAATGACTTACTAGCAAAGACAATAATATTGGCAAGGTAGATGGCAGTAAGAAAACAGGAAGACCTTATTCCAGATGGATAGCCTCCATTGAAGTCATGGCTCCAAATTTGTGGGACCAGAACAGGGCAGATGATGATAGGATAATTGGAGCTATAGATCATTTATTTATAGTGTCACCTTTAACTTGATGGGCAGTGTTGAACAAAATTGCATTGAGCTGTTTGTAGCAAGAGCTAAAGTAACATTTTCTGTTTCACAATGTAATGGAAGCCGTAGAATCATGGTAACAGGACACCTCTTTGCTCTTATTTGCCCTTTATCTAAGTTTTGCCATCTTTACATAGATGATGCATGCATATCTTCTTTTCCAAGAGGTTTTAATCTCATGTTAAACATTCTGTTGTATTTATTTATTTATTTAGAAGATTTCTATACCGGCCTTCTCAACCTCGACGAGGGACTCAGGTCGGTTTACAGTGCATATCAAATACAATCATATAAAACAGCAAATACAAATCATTACATATTAAAATAGTACAACTCAGTACAATAAAAACCTCATCATTACATCATTACAGTTTCCTACGCCAAATCGTCAATCCAGTCATGGTCATAATCATATTCATAGTCGCAGTTCATCATAATTCATCACAGGGAAGGTTCTAGGTTCAGTCTTTGAATGCCGCATTCCAGAGCCATGTTTTTAACGATTTCCTGAACGTCAGGAGGGAGGGGGCAGATCTAACCTCTAGTGGGAGGGAGTTCCAAAGCCGGGGAGCCACCACCGAGAAGGCCCTGTCTCTCGTCCCCACCAACCGTGATTGTGAGGGTGGTGGGACCGAGAGCAGGGCCCCCCCGGAAGATCTTAGTAGCCTTGATGGTTCATAGGGGAGAATCCGTTCGGACAGGTAAACTGGGCCAGAGCCGTTTAGGGCTTTATAGGTCAACACCAGCACTTTGAATTGTGCCCGGAAGCTGATCGGCAGCCAGTGGAGCTGGCGTAACAGAGGGGTCGTATGGTCTCTGTACCCTGCTCCTGTTAACAATCTGGCTGCCGCGCGTTGGACTGATTGAAGCTTCCGGGCAGTCTTCAGAGGCAACCCCACGTAGAGAGCGTTGCAGTAGTCTAAACGGGATGTAACCAGAGCGTGGACTACCGTGGCCAAGTCAGACTTCCCAAGGTACGGGCGCAGCTGGCGCACGAGTTTTAATTGTGCAAAAGCTCCCCTGACCACCGCCGAGACCTGGGGTTCCAGGCTCAGCGATGAGTCCAAGGTCACTCCCAAGCTGCGAACCTGCGCCTTCAGGGGGAGTGTAACCCCGTCCAGCACAGGCTGTAACCCTATACCCTGTTCGGCCTTTCGACTGACCAGGAGTACCTCTGTCTTGTCTGGATTTAGTTTCAATCTGTTGTCCCTCATCCAGTCCATTACAGCGGCCAAGCACCGGTTCAGGACTTCAACAGCCTCCTTAGTAGCAGGTGGAAAGGAGTGACAGAGTTGGACATCATCTGCGTACAGGTGACACCGTACCCCGAAACTCCGGATGATCTCTCCCAACGGCTTCATGTATATGTTGAACAACATAGGGGACAGTACAGAGCCCTGCGGGACCCCACAGTACAACGGCCGCGGAGTCGAGCAGGTGTCCCCTAATAACACCTATCTGGGAGCGCCCCTTGAGAAAGGACTGGAGCCACTGCAGAGCAGTACCCCCAAGGCCCATTCCTGCAAGACGTCCCAGAAGGATACCGTGATCGACGGTATCGAAGGCCGAAGAGAGGTCCAGCAGAACCAACAGGGACACACTCCCCCTGTCCAGTTCCCTGCGCAGATCATCCACTAAGGCGACCATAGTGTTTATCATTTATTTAAAGGATTTTGCCTTGCTTCTAGTTTGAAAAGCTCATGATATATCTTGCAGCTGAATGAAAACCAGTCATTCCTCAGGTTTACAATCTAAAATGTGCAACACAAAACAAAAGAAAGATAAAACAAACTGGTGAACCAGTCATTCAAACTATGTTTTTTCTCTCCTAATGACTAACAAGGATAGTAGCTGTTCAGAAGTCTCCTAGGGATCCACAGAAATCTTGTGTGTGTGCAGGGGGATAGTAATAGATACAATGATAACATTACTTCTGTATATGAGTATGTTTGTGTTTATGGTTTAGAATACCTTTACATGATACTAGATGCCTACATAGAACAGGGCAGAGACCATTTAGAATTTTAAAGCATTATGCACAGGTTTTGTATAAGCATAATGAACAACACAATAAAAAAACTCCCTAAGAATAGAGGAGGAAAGATAGATAGGTGTAGACAAACACAGCACAACGAAACAATCTTAAGAATGTCACATTGGATGTTTTCTGGTATCTCAGTCCTCATTGCAACATGGACAACTTGAAATAATTTCAGAAGAACCCAGCACCCAGCCATTCTAGGATAATTTTCTCCTTCTTTGAAGCTGCCATGCAGTCTGCAGGGAGCAGCGCTACAGCCTGACTGGATCAGGGGTTATGGTTCTGATGGAGACTGGACAACAACAGCAGTTAAGATTCATACTTTCATATTTTTTTTAGGTCCCCTCAATCACAAGTTGTGTGACCTTTCTCTAAAGCTCAGCCAAGTCAGCAGGGATTGAGATTCCAGATGAGTTCTTGATCAACAGTATTCCAGATTCAAAAGCACTGCATGTGGTTAATATAATCAAGCATCAGGAACAAACTGTGCAAGAGCATGGAGTGCAGGGGCTGTATTTTATTATAAGAAGAAAAGAAAACGGTGAGATAATTAGTCCACAGCTCTAGACACAACTAGCATAATTGTAAAAGTCAGGGGGACTTGAATTTCTGAATAGTTGTGTAACATCCAAGTATTTGAATTAGATCTTAAAACTTAGCAAGATCTTAAGATGGGCCAGGATTATTTCTTTATATTCAGAATGCAGATCCTAGTACACATCAGGCAAATAAGAGACTGGTTGACAGGTGAGCAAGAAGGCCAAAATAGCTTGTGTGGCTCTTGAGTTGCACTTTCCAGCACCCCTCACCTTACCTATGCTGGTTGTTATTATTATTACAGATGATGAGAGCTGGACATATTTTTATACATTTAAAAGGATATAAGCCATCTCCTAAACTGGGAAATCAGAATCACGGTGACAATTCTCTATTAAATGTAAGACCATATATTTAAATATACATTTAGTCCTTTGCGGGGAAGAGGCTTGATTCCCTGTCAAAAGGACAAGGTTTCAAAACAAATACTAGGTTTTTCAAAAAGTAGTGGCATAGAGGTGAACAAGCAGTAACAGTTCATGATAACAATGACTGTCTGGAAAGGTATACTCAACTGTATACAATTTTTACAGCAACCTGTTAATGATTTAGATGTCTTCTGGAAAAATTGGTACCAGAGGCCAAAGTAGCAGTGAAAGAATATGAAGAGGTTTTTAGACCACAAAAAAGGAGAACAGTTCAAAATTGTTAGCAAAAATCCTTTGTATTAAAAATTAAGATATTCCAGTGTGAAATGAAACCAGGTTAGGTAAACCTTGCATACTCAAAACATATTTTGAATCTTCTAGAGACCATTTGAAGGCTCCTTCTAAAAAAGTATGTTTTTTCTTTCTTTCATAAGCTTCCACGCCTTGAGATTTTCATTTTGGTGGCCATATTTAAAGATCTATGTTTCACATGCTAGGGTACCAGATGAGGCAAGGAAATCAACCCACTCTTTTCCTCTGTCCCCCTCCCCCCGAAATCTCAGTAAGGATCTCCAGAGACAACTGCCGTTTGCCTTGCCTGTTGTAGCCCAGTTCACATATTGGCTGAGGACAATCCCATTCTTTTACAGCTCAAGCTTTATTGCACTGTTGGTTACAGACATATTGCTGGAACTGAAAGACTGATTCTTTAGCTGTCCATCACCCTCCTCCCAAAGTACTGTTTAAAATTTCCAGCTAGATAGAAAAGGAAAGTTGGGTTAGCAACAAGGACTTTGTAAAGATTAACTTCCTTGAGGTATGTCTGCAAAAGATCCAAGCTATTTACAGTTTAGAGAAGTGGGACGTGTTGTGTCCTACTGATCAATTCCAAGAGGATACTGAGGAAAAAATAACACACGAATTACCTGGTAATCAGATGGCCTTTATTTTGGTGTATATTATATGAAAAAACAGAGGCTGAGAACACGATGAAACATTAACCACAGAGGCCTCCCTATAAACAAGAGTACTGTTCTATACAGATGAATGCATCCATATATCATTCAGTGTTAAAGCAGTCCTTACTCTTCCACTTCCAGGAAGAGATATCTCCAAAAATGGTATCAATGCTTCTCTATTTAGCAATTGCATTAGGTTCGCACCACCTTATAAACCTGAGTACACTGATCTTGGATTTCAGAAGCTCAATGAAGTTTGACCTGGTTAATACCTGGAGACCAACTGGTCACAATAGGAATTTCCAGTTAGGAGTAGTAAATGATCCCACCTGAAAATCTGGAGAGCTATTACCAGTCAGTACTAGACTAGATGGACTAATTGTTTGGCTTGGTATAATAAGGCTACTTCTAATGCTCTTAACACAATTAGTGTCAATCTTGTATCTTATGCTAAATATATTTTTCTGCATCTTATAAAAAGTATTTTAATATATTATGAAACTCACACAATTATCCCATTTCACTTCAACAGAAAATTGGCCAGTGCATTTTTAAAACCGCCAATATAGAAAAAGAATGTGCATCAAGGTGGTATATAGTACATTTCAAAAATCCTGAAGAAATATTGTACTATAGTCAAATATGCTATTGGAAAGACCAGTGAAAGAGATGCTAGGTGAGATCGACACAAATGGTAACTTTTGTTTTCTTTTGAAAATTGTACCAAGCCTAACAAAGAGGCACTTTATGAAGGTTGCAAAAGGACAGGCCCACACAGCAAAGTCTGTGATCCACCGAGCCTAACCATCTTTGCCTTCTCTGTCACCCAAGGTTCACAGCAAAAAAATGAAATGCTACTTTATGAGTTTCCCCTAATGGTCAACGCTGTACAGGCCTGTGGCAGAAATGCAAACAAGTCCCTACCCAACACTAGCAAGTCTCCCAATAGATAATCAAAGCTTGGCTAGACATCTGGGAGATTTACAGCAAGAAGTAAAATAAGGTGCCAGCATCAGAAGTTAATCCATCCCAATCCTTCTTTTCATTTGTAATCTTTGGACTACTACAAACATTACATGGCTAATCCCTGAAAGGAATTTTTTTGACAATTTACTTCCAAATATCCCTCCCCCTGCAAGAAGCAACCTTTTCCAAACTTGATACTGCAAAAATACAGTAAGACACAATCCATTTCCATCCTTAACCTTCCAGTTTTTAGAGCAAGTAGATGGAGGTAACATGATAGATTTTATTATTTGAATACATTAGTATTTAAACATATTCTATAGATTAGATCATATAATCTAATTATGTAATTAATCTCAGTCATTGCTCCCCTCTAATACACATATACAATGTTGGAAAAGTCTTTACAAAATTGATTCCTCCAGAAATGAAGGCTTTATTTTACAATGCCACAATCCAACAAAATACAGAGAAGTTTAAAATGTCAAAGAAACCTGGGTAAAGTTGAATCTTCCACAAAAATACCACAATAATATCAAGTGAAAATTTTATAAACAGTGACAGTTACAATAATACGAAACATGATCAGAATCCAGTATTTTTGTATAAAATATCTACATAAATATAGAGTATTTTAACATATTGCAGATTTACAATAGACAATGTAAACAACTTTTTTCTGTTGTACAGCTGAACTGTTTATTTAGAAAAGAATTATGACTTGGACCTGTTTACCAAAGACTAGTTACGGCTTAAAAGTTCTGAGACAAAAAACGAAAACAAAATACAAATCCTTTGGGAATGATTGCTAGAATTCTTAATCTGATATGGGGAAAACGTAAGAGTTTTCCTGACTACACAGCAAGCAGGAGAAAGTGGGAGAAGAAGGAGATATTGCTCAAAAGCTGACCTGAAAAATTGGAGTTTCTGGCTCAAAAACTCACAACCTTCCAAACTTTTGAGACATTCACAGAATCATAACACACATTAAGCTAGGGATATTATGTAAAAGACATCATAAACAAAGCAGATATAGCAAAACATAATTCTCTGACATAATAAAGCCTTCTTGATAAAGAATTTACATTATTGGGGAGAAAATAGCTGATTTTGGAATCATGAACTCTTAATAGTGTCACTATTTACTACGGATTATATGGATTAATTATATAAAACAGCTAGGATGTGCTGTGTGATTTGCTGTGCTGCTGACATTGATCTTTAGGAATTGATGAAGAAAGACCTAATGTCTTAGTCGTTGATTAACACATTAATTTATCAAGCCTGTACACTGCTGTTGTGATTTACACATTATCAGCTTTGACATAGGAGCAGATACAGCAGCAAACATCAGCAGCATCCTAACTACTGCTGCTGACAACATATGAAGTGGTCCTCTCTTTCTGATCAGAACTGTATGGGGAGATTGTGCTTCATCAAACGAAAGGATTATGAAATGTACATTCCTTGTATTAACAAAGGAAGGAAATTTTGTTGTTGTTAATACATTATAATTTATATATGAACTTGGCACAAATGCCTGATGTAGTCAGTAACTCACTAATTTTTTTCTGCTATACATTTGTTCAAAAACTCTAAAAGATACAACTGTCAAACTTATTTTAGGTGAAATACCTTTTTTCTTTTTTCAAAATACTTGTTTCATTTTGCACCAAAAGTAGAAAGGTATAACTGTGGCATAAACATAAAAAGAAAAAAAAAAAACACTCCAAAGTCATAATATATATGTTTTTGGCTGGATTACACAAGTGTACCACAGGATCTTATTTGTATTAATTCTGGTCCCAGAAATGTTGGTTCTTTACAGCTGTTGGTTTGGACCCAGTGAATAGCATATTAAATGGAGGAGGAAAAGAGGCTTGACGGGCCATAGTAGTTTGCAGACTTTATTCTTTCTTTATTCCAGGCATCCTCAAACTGCAGCCCTCCAGCTGTTTTGGCCTCTAACTTCCAGAAACCCTAGCCAGCTTGTTCAATGGTCAGGGATTCTGCGAGCTGGAGGCCCAAACAGCTGGAAGGCTGCAGTTTGACGATGCTGCTTTATGCTCTGGCAAGCTCCCAAAGAAACCCTACTTGGTTAATGCCAACTGATGTTACATAGCTGAATTTTTATAGCTATCATTGGGTATGATGCATAGAGAGAAATATGATTGAAGTTCACACCTGACTATCAAATAATCTCCAAATAATATATTTGACTTTTAAAAAGTTTGTGTCTGTGCCTGTATTTATTATATTTATTTCTGAAAAATAACTAAGCAAACAATGACATCAACATTGGCTGGATTAGCTATTCAGTTCTTCTCAGGGGTTTGAAAATGGCACGTGGAGCTCAAAGGAACTTGATGTGTTGACACTTCAGCTCTAAGATTCTATGCAGTCATTATCTCCCTTCTTTCAATAATTATTCATGGCCTTATTTTTTTTAATGTATCATATCCAAACTAACAGAGGAGATGAAAGTGCTTAAGACTTTACAAAAAACTCAACTAATCTTAAAATCAAGGCACAAAAAGAACTACTAGGACTTTTATGTATACCAACAGAAACTTAACCACAAACCCACTCATTTTGGTACAGTAGTGTTGTGAACTGTCAGCAATAAGACAACCTCTTCCTAGTAGATTTAATGACTTTTCATTTATCTTCAGAAACATTTGCTAACAAGTCCTGGTTGCCCATTTTGTCAACAGTCAGCTATATATTATTAAAATGATGTTCGCAGGTTCTTGCTGTTCAATTCATGTTGCATTGAATTCCCTATTTTGTAGGTGTTTTTTCTATTTCTGAACCTGAAAACAATAGGAGATTGTGTATGTTAGAAACAGTGATAAAACATTATTATTTTTATATAATTCATAGAAACTATACACCATTGTTTTGTCTGCCGAACCTCAATTATGTACACAAGAAATATTTATAATCTAAGCAAATAAATCCTAAGCATTACTTATTGTTGTGCAATTTAGAGTTGTTTCCAATCTATGGCAACTCTAAACCTATCACAGGGGTTTCTGGACAATATTGCCTTCCTCTGAGACCGAGACAATGTGAGTTTCATGATCAAGTAGGGATTCAAACTCTGGTTTCCAGAATCATAGTTCAGAGCTGAAACTACTATATGCTAGCTCTCTAGTACTTACGAGGAAACAAAGTCCAGTTATTTTAGGACTGAACTTCTGTAGCAAAGAACTTAAAATTATTTCTTCAGTCAAGGACACTGCACTATAACACCTTGCCCAGTAATGCTAAATCTCCAAGAGGGGCTCCTAGTAATATTCTACAGTTAACACCATCACATCATCTCGGAGACAAGGATCTAGAAATACTCCTGCCCTGGGCAGCAGGCTCATGATCAAAGGGACAAAAGCAAAGCCATGTCCTTAATAAAGGAGGTTCCTGATTATCTTACAAAATTCTTTGCTGACCTACTGTTGCTAAATGCTAATTTTGTCATTGCGTCAATTACATTTAGTCATCACATAACTTAATCACAACTGTCAAAGAAAATATTGGCAATTAAATAGACTTCAATTAATATACTAATAATATACCATAAAGAGTGGATGGTATTAGATTTGCTTCAAGCATCCTGTTGAGACTTGTAGAAAATCCATGTCCTTTTTGTTTTGTCTCTTTGTTGATGATATTGTATGCCTCTGAAAATATAGTATCAGTAAAGAGCTACATTTTGGTGAGTGCATTTGCACACTAAAGCTTGTGTGCCAGCTGCATCCATTCCGTGGGATCTCAGATCAATTATAGTAACACATGTCTTGGTTACATCCTGTTTCAATTACTGTAAGATGCTCTACATGGTGCTACCTTTGAAGAGTATACAACTGGCCCCAACTATTGCATGCTGACTGCTATCTAGGGTTGGCTACAGGGAGTAGACTGGCTAGATTGGTACAACTCCTTATTACAACAGTTCTGCTGATTGATTGTCCATTTTCAGGAAGAATTTAAACTGCTGTGATGACCTACAAGGCCCTTTAAGGTTCATTTCCAGGTTATGTGAAATATCTTACAATGTTGTATGAATCTGCCCATGTTTTCAGATCTTTTGTGGAAGTCTTAATCTCTGTCTCACCATTTGATAGGTGGAAACACAGAAGAGGGCCTTCTCAGTGACCACTCCCAGGCTCTGTAACTCCCTTCTCAGACTGGCTAGATTGGCAATCTCTTTACTCTTTCTAAAGCAGTTCAAACCCTTTTAATCCTGAAGACCTTTGATGATGGGTTTTCCAGGAGAAACAGACCTTGTATAATTTCTTGGACTTCTATTTGTAATTGTTTTAATTTAACTATTATCACTTTTGTGATGGCTTATTTGCTTCTTTTTTCATGCTATTAACTTTTAAATGTTTTAACCTGCCCTGAATCCCAAACTGGTGAAAAAAGAGTAATGATGATGCTATCTGCTTACCCTTTGATTTGTAGCATCTCTTCAAATGTTTCTGGCAGAGGGTTTCCATAACTTTCTGGTAGGAAGAGGGTGAGAATTCCTATCAGCACAGTAAGGCTTCCCATAAGGATATATGGCAGAAACCTATCATAGGCACCTGGTAAAATCAGAAGTGGCAAAAGTTGTTATACTATTACACAAAATTAATGTTAAATTCTTTGAAACATGTCAAATGCCCAGCATTATTTATTTCATACTTTACGTGATCCTGTGATATGAGTTAGATGCTAATAAAGCAACTATTTCAAAGCCATACTGTAAGCTTCATGGTTAGTGATATCCAAGTCTCTACAGTAATGTTCAGCCTTCTCCACCCCTCAACTAGGATGTAAGCATCTTGATAATTCCTCTTAGCAGCATTGATAATAAATGCTCATTTCTAACTGGATGAGTACTGGAACTAGATTATTATATTTAAGATTTTTTTTTATGGAACTCATGAGCATCTAAATAATGATGATATTTCATGCTGGAAGTTTTAAAATGTGAGTTTTGAAGCAAGGCGTGACTAAAAAGCCAATTCAGGAAGCTTTTTGACACTACTAGAGAATAAAGGAAAACCTGGCAGGGGATGTTCTTTTTTAAATATAAGGCTGATAATAAAATATTTCTTACCAAGGTAAACAAAGTAAGGAGCAATGATGCTGCCCACCCGGGAGGACATTGAAGCAGCACCCACTGCCATGTTTCTCACTATAGTTGGGTACAATTCCGCAGTATAAACGTAAAGCATGGAGAAGGCAGATGTGACTCCAAACTTCCCCAACATCACCAAAGTGACAGAGAGAATGTGGAGGTCTGTGGAAAGATTGAAAATAAGAAATAAGGTTTCTTGCATTTTTATTAAAAACAGTTGAGTTTTTCTTATTCTATACACTATTTTACAACAGTATTAGGAACAAAAATCAAGTTAATATATTTGTAGATTATGTCTGCAGACATTTGATATAAGCATGGGTTTGAGGCAATAGTTTAGGGACATAATTTTTATTTTCACTGCTAATTAAAGTCTGTGTACATTATATAGGAAAAATAATTAAGATATGTGTCTCTACCCAGCTGAACTATCAACAAACAAAATAAACCTTTTTCTGTATGACTGTAAGCACTAAGAATCAAAGACTTGACCCAACAAATATTTGGACTACATATCCTTTATTCCCCACTGGAAAGCTTTCATGGTATGTATCTGCACGATTCTATTTGCAGATCCATGTTTAGAATTAATGGCAAAAAGGTGAACACTACTTTTGGACACTAGGTTTGTCTTTTCAAGTATCCAATATGCTACTGAAGTCCTTAAACAGCGCAATCAAACATCAACAGATTTAGAGCATTTGTATATGCTCATACTTTGAGGTACTAGCTGAAGAAACAGGATAATTCCTCCTCCCAAGAAGAGTGTGCCAGATATTGAATAACGCCGAGGTAATGTTCGGAGAAGTAACCAAGCAATCACACAGGCTGGAACTTCTGTTAGTGCAGACAGGAAGCAGTTGAGGTAGACATCCCCATGCAAGTTGGGGGTGCTGAGTGACAAGCTAAAGTAACCAATAGATGTAATCATCCTGAAAGGGAAAGGATAGAAATTCAGCACATATGAAAGGCATTCACACTGATAGAATTAACTAAATGAGCACATAACAATAACCAGTATAGCCACATATTTCAGTTACTATTTTTTAAACAGTATTAGGAACAACAAATCAAGTAAATATATCTGTAGATTATGCCTGAAAACATTTGATATAAGCATATCAAATATAAGAATATACCTAAATCAGATATCCCCTTGCTCCTTAGGCTGTGCCAAAACGCATTAATTTTGGCATGTAGGGTTGTGTCAAAATGCATTAACCTCACACATTATCTTTTATTTAGTCACTTTACACTTGTGATGCAAGGCCCCATTCACAATGAGGCACATACTGCTAGCAAGTTACTGATCAGTATACAATGGAGATATGTAATAATGGATTAACAAAAGATTTAAAAGATTGAGAGAATTTTACTCAAAGATACACCAGAAAGACATCAGGCATTTAATATCTTTTTTAAAAAAATCATCTTGGCAGCAATTTTAGATATTACATCTTTTTGTTTAATCATGTTGACTTCTTTTCCAGTAAGCACATTGGAATGCTGCATATCTTATAATTTTAAAAAAGGACTAAATGTACTTTATTTACTTTAAAGTTACTTTAATAATTTACAATTTTCCCCTGTAAACTTGCCTTCTTTGGAATTAGTGGATTTAGCAATGAAAAGTAAATTGTTTGTTTTTAATTGTAACTATTTACATATAAAGATAGGAATCCTTCCACTTCAAATAGTTAATTTACACTATATATAGTAAGAATATATGAACTGATAATTAACCATGATGTCCTTGTGTTGTTCCAGATCTGCTGTGTAAACTAGACACTACTTTATCCTAACCTTCTGCTTACAATTCAATGCAGTGTTATGTTCAATACAGTGTCAATGTTTGTTATGACTCCAAGTGTGAAATGCCTTTATTTATTACAGCTTCGTAAAAGATAAGTTTTGAGGGATGTGAGGACTATTATGTCTATTTCATTTTCACATCTATATCTGCCTGATGGGTGTTCTGAGTTTGGTAGATGAGGCCTTCACAGATGTGATGCTAGCTAGCATCCTATTGGCCGGGGGGGGGGGGGGGGGGGGAGGACAAGGCTTTTCAATTATCTATTCCTCAATTATAGCTGGATATCAAAGGAATATATCCTTTGGTGCCTTATAATACTCATATAAATGTAATATTTAGTAGGGAAGTTATACACTTAAGCAAAAAGCAGCCACAGGGAACATAAAAAATTATTCCATGATAGACGTCCTTGGCTCAGGAAATTCATCTGTCTCCATTATGATGATTTCATTTCACCTTGTAGCTGAGGAGCCTTATAACCAAGGAGAAAGAAGAAAGTGCAAAAGCTGGGTCGCAGTTAAACATCAGAACAACCAAGGCAACCAGTCTGATTGAAAACTGGCAAATAGAGGGAGAAAACATGGAGGCAGTGACAGACTTGGTATTTCTAGGCGTGAAGATTACTGTAGATGCAGACTATAGCCAGGAAATCAGAAGACGTTTACTTCTTGGGAGGAGAGCAATGACCAATCTTGATAAAATAGTGAAGAGTAGAGACATTACACTGGCAATAAAGATCCGCATGGTTAAAGCAATGGTATTCCCCATAGCAACCTAAGGATGTGACAGATGGACCATAAGGAAGGCTGAGTGAAGGAAGATATATGCGTCTGAACTATGGTACTGGAGGAAAATTCTGAGAGTGCCTTGGACCGCAAGAAGATCACACCAGTCTATACTCCAAGAAATAAAGCCTGATTGCTCATTGGAGGGAAAGATATTAGAGGCAAAGATGAAGTACTTTGACCACATAATGAGAACACAGGAAAGCTTGGAAAAGACAATTATACTGGGGGAAAAGGAAGAGGAGCAGACTAAGGGCAAGATGGATGGATGGTGTCCTTGAAGTGATTGGCTTGACCTTGAAGGAACTGGGGGTGGACACAGCTGACAAAGAGCTCTGGCATATGCTGGTCCATGAGGTCACGAAGGGTCGGAAGCGACTGAATGAATAAATAACAACAATTGCAATTGGAAATATTTTTTAAGACTGATATTTTAATGGATTTAAAATCTCATTTTATCTGCCACCATTTTCTTTTCTTTTGAACGTCCCGCTTCGCAGTTTAAGATCATCCGGGGAGGCCCTGCTCTCGCTCCTGCCAGTGTTGCAAATACATGTGGCGGGGACGAGAGACAGCGCCTTCTCAGTTGTGGCCTCCCGCCTGTGAAACTCGCTTCCCACTGAGGTAAGATTGACTATGTCCCTCCTGTCATTTAGGAAAAAATTGAAGTTGTGGTTCTGGGACCAGGCTTTTGGACAACAGGTATAGATAGAACTTTGGACATGGAATTGGATATGGAATTGACTGGAATGGTGATAACGGCTATTGATACTGGCTTTTTTTACTGTTTTAATGAATGTTTTATTTATTGTTCAAATTGTTATTATATTGCTGTTATATGTAGTGGCATCAAATTGCTGCCAAATGTAAGCCGTCCTGAGTCCCCCTTCGGGGGTTGAGAAGGAACAAGATAGAAATGCCGGAAATAAATAATTTTGTTTAAAATTAAACTACTTCAATTTTTTCTCAACCTGTTGAAAGAGGTTGGCTCAATCTATTAGGGAAGACCAAGATGACATTTATTGTTGTAATACTTTCATTCAAATAAATGAAATTCCACCATTCTATTTAATTATCACATAAATGTTTCTACTGGTGCAGATAATGTAACAATGTGCTTAATAGTAGCCTGTGACTTATGCACTATATCAGCAATTTAATTCATAGATTGCGATGTTCTGCTGGAGTCTGATACTGTGTCGTAAAAGAGGTAGTAAAAGGTAAAGGTAGTCCCCTGACATTAAGTCCAGTCATGTCTGACTCTGGGGTGTGGTGCTCATCTCCATTTCTAAGCCGAAGAGCCAGCGTTGTCCGTAGAAACCTCCAAGGTCATGTGGCCGGCATGACTGCATGGAGCGTAAAAGAGGGGTTATAGCTTATCTAGTGTGTGCTGCAGTTATTATACCTAAATCAGATATCCCCTTGCTCCTTAGGTATTATAGAGTCTCAGATATACTTACCACAAGAAAAGTGACATGATTGTGATAACAGCAATATTTGGGGTTCTGAACAAGTCAAGAATCATGCTCTGCTGCCTGGTCTTCAAATCCTGCACCTTTTGGAGAGCGGGGAGAAAACAATGTGAAAATAATTTAAAAATTACATTTTATGGATACCAAACTGTCAAAACTAAAGTTTGGGAAGATATTTTGATCAAACTGGAAGCCCAAGAAAACTGAATCCCTGAAAAAGCTGTTGTTTGTTCCAAGGAACTCATCATTGTATTGCTAAGAGGACTGCTCAAACTCAACCATATTTCTGCTTTGAATGTTTTCTCCTGTAGCTTTTCACCATTCTATATAGTCACATTTTATTGTCAAATTTCATCTCTTTTCCACTGCATATGAACAATCCCACTAAGAGCAGAATAAACAGATGGCTACAGTTGTTGTTGTTGTTGTTGTTGTTGTTATTATTATTATTATTATTATTATTATTATTATTATTATTATTATTATGCCAAGACTACAGTATCTCAGCCTGAACAGATAAGAGACTTTACCTACACATGTACAGCACACGGATCACAATAAAACACTAAGGCCTGCAAAATGAAGCTTATACTAAGAAAACCCTTTATCACCTGAAAAAACCGCTGGGCACAACGGAGAGTTCTTCACCACCTTTACAACCACAAGAGTAACACTTAGATTCTTACCTGTGTTCAGCCATATTCAATTTTTTCTTGATATCAGTTGTAATCATCAACCATGTCATTTCATGACCCTGAGCTCCTTAGATAGCCAGCATGGAATTAGAAGTACATCAAGGAACATTTTTTAAATTTGTTTTATTGTTTTTGAAATATTTTAACAAGTACAAATATTTTACAAAGAGAAAAGATAGAAAATTGAAATACATTTTTTTAAAAAACACAGCAAAAGGAAAAAATAGAAGACTAGAAAAAGAAGAAAAAAGTGACTTTTAATCTTCATTTTGGTGGTTATATGTATATATAGTTATTTGTCCTTCTCTCTCCAAAATGTACAACATATTTCTTTCTTTCTATAATTTTTAATTGATGGTTCTTGTGTATTAATAGTATATCAGCCTCCTGACAACCACCAGATATCTTCTGTAAAATAGTCATCATCACAGGCGATCCCTTGTGGCTGAGTACAATTGTCTTCCAAGATAGAGTCTTAGTGGTGGGTCCGTAAGTGACTGCGAAAGCCTATTCTGGATCCACATGGTCTTTCACAATGATATAGTGTTCAATTTGTTCCAAAGGTAACAGAAGTTAATTCTCAAAACACTTATTTTTTAATTATTTTTTATTGTGTAAAGATGGTATACAAAATGTAAAAAATAAATAAAAGAAATACATACCTCAGATACATATAATACAAATACATCTGTCTACCACACACACACCCTCCTGACCAGTGAACCACCAACATGATTTCTGACACCACTCAATATGAAACTAATATCTCATAAAACCTACCCTCATCTTTATATTAATAACTTCCCCCTGCTACCTTTGTCTTCCTTTCTAAATATTCAAATGCAAGCCTCCATTTTCTAACAGTCTTCATTATTTCCTCCTAATGCCACTGGACAGCTTGGCCATTCTTTAAAAATAGCTCTTTCCCCCCTTCCATAATTTTCTTATTAATCTTGCAGCTACAAAATTGTATTGGCAAATTTCTATGTCTTCTTTGCCGATTTTTTCACCAAATAAACCTAAAAGACACATTTCTGGGTTTTTCTTAACCTTTTAAGAAATTGTTTTTTCTTGCTTACCTTTCCCCAGAAAGTTTGTACCAGCCTACAGGTCCACCATGCATGGAGGGAGATGCCTTTAAGTATTTTTCAACTCCAGCATCCCCCTTCCCCCACCCCAATGGAATTTATCTATTTTGCTTAGCATCTTGGGAGTTATATAACTTCTACAGAACATTTTATACATATTTTCTCTAATGGACCCAGCTATCGAAAATTTAAAACCTCTTTCCCATAAATATTCATTTTTTTCCAAATCAATATTTCCCCCTAAGTCTTTAGCCCATGAAATGATCACTGTTTTTATTTTATTGTCTTCTAAGTTGTATTTGTATAATCTGGAAATTAGTCCTTTATTCAGTTTTTCCAAAATGTTCTCCAGTTCCAATTTTCCTTGGGGAAAACCTACATTATCTTTCATAAATCTGTCATGTAATTGGAAGTAAGGAACTACTTCCAATTACTCAGGGCACAACGAGTCAGACTGAACATGGCTGTATGTCTATCTAAGGGCATACATCATGGCAATTGATGCCGCAAAAAAATATCTCTTTGCTGTCAACATTGTGTCTGCAAGAAACCGTCTAGCTGAGCTGTTTCAAACTGTCAGAAGGTTGTTAATTCCCGCCTTGCATGATAGGACCCTTTACCATTTGGCTGCTCACTGTGAAGAATTTGCTCGGTTCTTTACGGAAAAAGTCGCTCTGCTCCGTTTTGACCTGGACACTATATTAACGGCAGACTCTGGAGATGTAACACGAGCACCTGATTGTCCTATTTTAATGGATTTGTTTCAATTTGTGCATTCCGAGAGCATCTCCCCTTTTTGAGCAAAGTCTTGGAACGTGTGGTAGCCTCATAACTCCAGGTGTTCTTGGAAGAAATTGATTTTCTAGATCCATCAGCTTTGATCTCCTTAGTGGATGATCTGCATAGGGAACTTGACAGTTGGAGTGTATTCCTGTTAGTTCTCTCAGACTTCTCAGCGACCTTTGATACTGTAGACCACAGTATCCTTCTGAGAAGCCTTGTGGGAATGGGCTTAGGAGGGTTGATCTCAGAAGATATTACTGGGGGACACCTGCTCAGCTCTGCAGCCATTGACTTGTTGAGTCCTGCAGGGCCCAGTATTGTCCCCCATGTTGTTTAACATATACATGAAGCTACTAGGTCAGATCATCTGGAGTTTTGGACGCAAATTGCATTCAACTCTATCATTCCTTTCCACCTACATCTAAGGAGGCTGTTCAGACTGTTGGTGGCAGTGACCGTTTGGATTAGTATGAACAATTTGAAAGATGGAGGTACTCCTGGTCAGTCAGAAGGCCAAACAGGGTATAGGATTACAGCCTGTGTTGGATGGGGTTGCATTGGATGCAGGTTCACAGCTTAGGACTTCTCCTGGACTCATTGTTGAAGCTGGAGCCCCAGGTTTCTGTAATGGCCTGGGGTTTTTTCGCACAACTAAAACTTGTGTGCCAGTTGCGCCCGTACCTTGAGAAGTCAGACTTGGCCACGGTAGTCCATGCTCTTCTTGTATCTCATCTAGACTACTGTAACATGCTTTATGTGGGGTTGCCTTTGAAGATGGCCTGGAAGCTTCAACTGGTCCAATGGGCAGCAGCTAGACTTCTAACTGCAGCGGTGTACAGGGAGCACACAATTTCTCTGTTGCATCAGCTTCACTAGCTGCTGATATGCTACCAAGCCCAATTTAAAGTGCTGGCCTTGGCCTATAAAGCCCAAAATGGGTCTGGTCCAACTTATCTGTCTGAACACATCTCTTCCTATGAGCCTACTATATTGTCTGGGGAGGTCCTGCTCTCAGTCCCACCTTCTTTGCAAGCACGATTGGTGGGAATGAGAAACAGGGCCTTCTCAGTGGTGGCTCCTTGGCTATGGAACTCCCTCCCCAGTGACATCAGGCAGGCCCCATCACTTCTAGCTTTCAGAAAAAAGCTAAAGACTTGGCTTTGCACACAAACATTCAAAGAATACGTTACTATGGGTTTCGACACAGCCTGAATTAAGGATTTGAGTAAGGTTATCAGATGAATGGAACTACGCACCTTATATGTTTTTAATTTGTATATTGTTTTATGTGTTTTATTTATTCATTGTTAATTGTTTTAACTGTGGGACATGTTTTTACTGTTTATTGTTGGTTTTTACCTGCATTGAATTCTTGCTGGAGCTGTAAGCTGCTTTGAGTCACCTTGGGTGAGAAATGCGGGGTAAAAATGAAGTAAATAAATAATAAATAAACAAGTCATTTATCCATAATTTTTCTCTCCCTTTTAGTTTCCATTGCCTTTTCTTTGCTTAGCTATTCCGTATAGGTTCTCTTTTCCTCATTAAATGCTGGATTTAGTACTGCTTTAAGAGGTTGCAACCATAGAGGTGTTTTTGCTCCATCCCTGCCTTGTACCTATTGCAAACTGTAAGAAGGCTGGTTCTTATAATGTGCCTATTAAAATCTTTATTGATATTGTCTTTTTCGTACCATAAGTATGCATGCCACCCAAATCTTAAGTTGTTTCCTTCTAAGTTAAGTAAAGCACAATTTTCTATTCAGATGCAGTCCTTTATCCAGCTAAAGCCTGCCACTTCATTGTAATACCTAAGATCTGAGAGAGCTAAGCCCCCTCTCTGTCTTTAGCATCTATCAGTTCTTGTATGCAGTTTTAGCCTTTTCCCCATTTCATATGAATTGGACCGCATCCCACTCTCCATTGTTCAAAGACCTTCACACCCTTAATTTTGAAATGAAAACATTTTTGGGAAGACCATCAGTTTTATCACAGCTATTCTCTCCATCCAAGTTAGTTGGATTTTTTTTTGCCATCTTTACAGGTCTTTTTAACCTCTTTCTGTGCTTTTTCATAATTGTTTTGGTATAAATTGTTATTTTTATTAGTAATCCATAATCCTATTTTTTTTTACTTTTGTTATAGCCTTACAGGCTGATGAATTCTCCAGTTTTTCAATATTGTGTTTTGATATATTTTTAGTTAAGAACATGGATTTCTCTTTTTTATTTTAAATCCTTCCAGTTCTGTATCTATTGATAGTTTCCATTAAGCATTGAATACTCTCTATTGGGTCTTCTATGATACACATCATATCATCGGCATAAGCCTTGACTTTAAATTCTTGTCCTTTTATTTTTACCCCTTTAATATCACTGTCTTCCCTAATCCTAATAATGGTCCTATAGGACCATTTATAATCTGTCTATAATATTTGGTAACTTCTGCTTAGCTCACTATTTATACACGCATGCCAAAAAATTACTTGGCATATCTATCTATAAAGAATAATATTGATCAAACACCTTTTGTATATTTGTATTGTCTGTTATTACATCACCTTCTAGTAACTTGAATATTTATTTTTATTTTCGCAACATATATGCCATCTATTCTCCCAATTTATTTGCAAATTCATTTTTTTTGTTTCACATAATTTATCTGTATTTCCATCTCTCTCATTATTAACATAGCTAACTGCCTCTGTAAAATCTTAACAGGGTACTTAATAATTGTGTTTTCCTTTCTTTTTCTCTCATCCAGAATCAAACCCATTTTTTCTTGGTTCTTTTTATGTTCAGAATGATGTTGAATGAAGGACCCTCATGAAAGTTTTACTCATATCCCAAAATATTCCAACATCTGTATCTTTATTAAAATTATTCCCCCCAAAATCTTGTAATTCCCTTTTGGAGTCCTCCAACACTTTTTCCTTCTTTTAACAATATGCCACTTAGTCTCCATCTAAAAGCAATTATTTTAATCTTGCAAGTTGTCACTGGATTATGATTTGAGAAAGTCTTTGGTAATATTACCACTTTGTAGACCTTAGTGGCTAAAGCTTTAGAAGTCCAAACCATATGTATATCTTTCAGAAAAATAAGTACCTTCTGTAGAATCATCATTTTTTTATCTTGATGTATCAACAAATTCTAACTTGTTCATTAAGTTAAAAATATTTTTTGTAACTTGTCACACAAAATTGTAATATTAATTTCAAAGTTCGTCCTTTTAAGTGAGAAACTACTCAATTCCAATCTCCTATGAGACATTTGAAAAATCAAATAGCTGATAAAATGCTGTTTTATCATGATTTTGGGAATAGATTTCCATCAACAAAGTCCTATTTTCCTGTATGGAGATCTCTTTTCTAGTACATCCACAGGGTTCATAAGTTAAATCAATTCTTGATATGGTGGAGGGTTTATATACAAAATAACTCTTTGTCTAAACATTTATAAATCAAGTATTCAGCTTTCTTTTTTGCTAATATGTGTTTCCTGTAGGCAAATTGGAACTTGTGTTTTTTCATATGATGATTTTTCCCTCTTTCTTTTGAAGATAATTTGTCCCATTCCATGTCAAAAATGCCACTTGAGCCTGGGGCACCCCAACACTCAACCTACTCTCGGCTGCTAAGATTTCAGCAGTCCCCTCATGAGGAGTGGTGTTTTGGAGTGCTTGTAAGTGATTTCATGTTCTCTGATTGTCCAGAAAGAGCTTTCATCACCAGCTGGAACTTGCCCCCAATTGTTTGCACTTAAGCTTTCCCTGTTATGTAGCTTGTGCAGGAATGTCAATCCAACATCACCCATTACCGGACATCCAGATCGAGGCCCATATTGATAGCCATCGAAGCCTTAGAATGACTGCAAGTGGAACCCAAAAGAAAATCCTGGGACCTCTCAAAACAACTTCCTGCTTTAAAGATGTGTTGCATCACATCTCCCAAAGGGGATCAGTGTAACACTTGGTCTTGGGAAAAGATGAGAATAGGGATCAGTAGCCTTTGGACATGCTGGGGGAAGGGGTACAGCCAGTGCCAGCTATACATACACCCCATATCACCTGTAGGATGAATACATCTGTACTCTACAGCTTCCCACAACACCAAAACCCCATCCCCCACTCTTTTAAAATCAAAAGAGGCTGAGAGAAAAAACTGAAGCCTTGATGCATTTTTCCTATCAGCTTATTTTGGTGTTAAAGGGTTGAGGTTGTTTCAGTGTTATGGAAGCTGGAGTGTGCCATGCATTTAAACCCCAAGCCATTAGAAAGTACTATAGCAACTGTACATGTGCTGATTGCCATAGCAAAGTTTGATGGAATTTGGTACTTCCATGTTCACTTAAGAAAATATCCAATTTCACATTATGCAAATAGAAAGCTCTCATATAGCTGTTCTGCAACTTGTAAGAATAGTTGCTAAACTTATCAGGAAGATGAGAAGCCCACAATAAAATGGTGGAAATGGCTCAGAGAGCATGGATAGATATATAGCTAGTGAGAGAGCACAAAATGGTAAAGCCTATGGGTATGATTACTTCATAGAGTCATTGTAGGTCAACTCAAGACCGAACATGTGATAAGGCAACCAGAAAGGCCCAGACTGCACTTCAATTGTGCTGTACAATTGGAAAATTCAAATGAGATGGAAAGTTCAGCTTTTCATTTGTCTGGTGATTTAATAATAGGGCTGGAGAAGTTACTTTCCAAAAGAGTAAGGATGGATCTACACTGAAATATAATCTAGTTTCAGAATGCAGATTAACTGCATTGAACTGGATTATGAGTCTACACTGCCATATAATCTAGTTCAATGTAGCTAATCTGCATTCTGAAACTGGATTATATGGCAGTATAGATCCAGCCCAAGATTGATACCAGACTGACATTTCCAAGCATGTCCCATACCACCTCAAACGAGACAAGATATCTCATATGGGGAATCTGAAAATAGCAATAGATTGTATTGGGTGCGGAGAAAATATGATCTGCTAATTTTTACTTATCTGAGCTAACTAGTTTGAACAGGAAATTTAGTTAAATAAATCTCAGATGGCTAATCATGACATGGTTTATTCCTGTGCTCTGATAATTGTAGACTAGGTTGGAGGAAGAGGAGTATAATAGTACTGCAATTCTGTACTTGATCCAAGGAAAAAAATATTTGAGGCAGTTTTTTTACTTGTCTAAATATCTAAAGGTTTTACCTTGATACCAGAAGAACTGAACTATGAAACAATCTTTAGGGAAACTACATAAGTGCTATATTAGTAATGAACATACATATATCTATTAGGTCACATGACACGAAGATGGGCATATTTCAGTTTCCAGTGCTGAGAGTGTACTATTTACTAAATGTGAGTTGTTATACCAGAAGTCTGTTTACTACAAAACTTTAAGAAGAATTAAAGTAATGATATACTGAATATAATAATATACTCAGGAATTGTAAACTGTTGACCTGGGATCCAGTGTATTATACTGTTTTGGAAAGAAACTTTCCCAGCTGTATTATAAAACTTCAGACAAATAAACCCAAGGCACGGAGAAACACAAGAACTTCAATATAAAATTTACCTCTGTGGAATCGAAGATTACTGCTGGGGCTGGAACTCCATTTTTTGCTGCAGCCTTCCGAATAATTACTTCAGCTTCTTCAAATCTTCCTTGAGAAATCAACCAACGGGGAGACTCAGGAATGATCCTGCAAAAAATTCAAATAATGAAGCTATATATTATCACAGCAGCTTTCATGTTGTTGGCTGAATAGTTTTACATAAGTTGCTTGCTTGCTTAGTTGTCTGAAGGTCACTGAAAGTGCGATCAGGGAAACCACTCACATTTTACTCATAGGTCTGCCTTGGTTACATATAAGGTCTCCAGGTCACCATTTAAAGTGAGTTTTATTTTTTATGAAAAGGACCATGAGAATGAAAACAGATGGATTTATGGATTTTCCTTATTTTAAAGCTCTCTTTCCATTCAAATTAGTTTCTTTTTGAAAATAGGCAAGTGGCTCACTGTCCCCCCCCCCCCCCAAATTAGTCTGCTGTTACTGTTGATGCTTTTATTGTTACGCTGTTTTATGCTGTCTTAATTGTTATTGCTTTGTTTTTAATTGTATTCTGCCTTGGGCTTGGCCCCATGTAAGCCGCCCCGAGACCCTTTGGGGAGATGGAGACGGGGTAGAAAAATAAAGTTCTTCTACTTAATACCTTCTTTGCCTCGGTCTTCTCACAAAGAGAAAGTCATCTTCAACCTCAGCAAGATGGAGTGGGTGAGGGATTAGAGGACATCCAACCCCAAATTGGGAAACAAGTCGTCCAGGAATACCTGGCTGCTCTAAATGAGTTCAAGTCTCCAGGGCCAGATCAACTACACCCAAGAGTATTGAAAGAACTAGCGGAAGTCATTTCGGAACCATTGGCAACCATCTTTGAGAGTTCTTGGAGAACGGGAGAAGTTCCAGCAGATTGGAGGAGGGTCAATGTGGTCCCAATCTTCAACATGGATTTATCAAAAACAAGTCATGCCAGACTAATCTGATCTCTTTCTTCGATAGAGCTACAAGCTGGGTAGATGCGGGGAATGCCGTGGATGTAGCGTACCTGGATTTCAGTAAGGCCTTCGACAAGGTCCCCCATGACCTTCTGGCAAACAAACTAGTCAAATGTGGGCTAGGCAAAACTACTGTTAGGTGGATCTGTAATTGGTTAAGTGAATGAGCCCAAAGGGTGCTCACCAGTGCTTCCTCTTCATCCTGGAAAGAATTGACAAGTGGAATGCCGCAGGGTTCCGTCCTTGGAAAGAAGTGACGAGCGGAGTGCCGCAGGGTTCCGTCCTGGGCCCAGTCCTGTTCAACATCTTTATTAATGACTTAGATGAAGGGTTAGAAGGCAGGATCATCAAGTTTGCAGACGACACCAAATTGGGAGGGATAGCCAATACTCCAGAGGACAGGAGGATTCAAAACTATCTTGACAGATTAGAGAGATGGGCCAAAACTAACAAAATAAAGTTCAACAGTGACAAATGCAAGATACTCCACTTTGGCAGGAAAAACGAAATGCAAAGATATAGAATGGGGGATGCCTGGCTCGAGAGCAGTACGTGTGAAAAAGATCTTGGAGTCCTCGTGGACAACAAGTTAAACATGAGCCAACAATGTGATGTGGCGGCAAAAAAAGCCAATGGGATTTTGGCCTGCATCAATAGGAGCATAGTGCCTAGATCTAGGGAAGTAATGCTACCTCTCTATTCCGCCTTGGTTAGACCACCTGGAATATTGTGTCCAATTCTGGGCACCACAATTGAAGAGAGATATTGACAAGCTGGAATGTGTCCAGAGGGCGACTAAACTGATCAAGGTTCTGGAGAACAAGCCCTATGAGGAGCAGCTTAAGGAGCTGGGCATGTTTAGCCTGAAGAAGAGAAAGCTGACAATAGAGTTGTTGTTGTTCATTCGTTCAGTCGTCTCCGACTCTTCGTGACCTCATGGACCGGCCCACGCCAGAGCTCCCTGTCGGCCGTCACCACCCCCAGCTCCTTCAAGGTCAGTCCAGTCACTTCAAGGATGCCATCCATCCATCTTGCCCTTGGTCGGAGGAGATATGATAGCCATGTATAAATATGTGAGAGGAAGCCACAGGGAGGAGGGAGCAAGCTTGTTTTCTGCTTCCTTGGAGACTAGGACGCGGAACAATGGCTTCAAACTACAAGAGAGGAGATGCCATCTGAACATGAGGAAGAACTTCCTGACTGTGAGAGCCGTTCAGCAGTGGAACTCTCTGCCCTGGAGTGTGGTGGAGGCTCCTTCTTTGGAAGCTTTTAAACAGAGGCTGGATGGCCATCTGTCAGGGGTGCTTTGAATGCAATATTCCTGCTTTTTGGCAGGGGTTGGACTGGATGGGCCATGAGGTCTCTTCCAACTCTATTTGATTCTATGATTCTTCTTCTGTTGGTTAGACTGTGGCCTTATCTACACACAGAAGAAAGCTCTTACAGTGTACCAGTGCTCTGTGGTTTGTGTAATCACCATCCAGGTTCAATTTCAGTTTTAATTCCATTAAATAGTTCATTTAGCTGTGCCCTAAAAGGAACGTATTTGAAGCAATGAAACTGAGTGAAAAATCATAGAATCATAGAGTTGGAAGAGACTTTGTGGGCCATCCAGTCCAACCCCCCTGCCAAGAAGCAGGAAAATAGTATTCAAAGCACCCCTGACATTTGGCCATCCAGACTTTCCAGAAGGGAAAGGTTGGACTCAATCCCAAAGCTTGGAAAGTTATTTTCAATCTGTCACATTTATTTCTTACAGTGTTTGAGAAGTAACTAATTGGTATAGTTTGTTGAAGTGCTAGGAAGATAGCTTATTGTATTACTTGTAGTGGTGTTCATTGTTTTCCTGCTTTTTCCATTGCTGACTATCAAGAGGGGCATATAAATTGACAATAGGCCTGTAAAATCTATTAATGTGCTCTTTAAAATAAACAGAAACTATTACTCATGATACTATTAAAATAATTTATTATGCATTGTGCTACTTTTGAAATTTAGCTTCATTGCAGTCCCTTACTGCTAAAAGGATCTACTTGCAGGTAATGGTCCATTGTGTCTCATTGCTTCCAAGCATGTAACCTGTTTTTGTAAGTTCAGGGCAGACATGAATAAAATGTGTGCTTGTCCCATCTAATTAAGTCTTGATGTAGAAATGTATATTCGACATTTATCCAAGTGGGTAAACCTACCGAAGTGAAATAGGCTTTAAATCTATTTTTAACTGTTTCAAATTGTATTGATATATTTTAACCTGTTTTATTACTTTATATGTCTATTTGTTTATTTATATTGTTAATGCGGCATTGAATCTTGCCATATTTGTAAGTCGCTTTGAGTCCCCTTCAGGGTGAGAAGAGTGCAGTAGAAATAAAGTAAGGAAGTAAATTAATAAATAGGTGGGCTATAAATATTTCCTTATAATGCACATGTGTTTTAGGGTAAGTGCATGAGTTTAAAATAATAAAGAATTAAAATGTTGCTTGTTTATTTTGATGTTTTTCTTCAGCAGCAAGATGGAACACATCACGGCTTTAGAAGTAAAGTAGTTATATTAAGTAGGTAACACCATGTAGTTTCAAGTACAATATATAGTCTAATTTGAAAACACAGTTGCCTCAATGTTAATAACGATGAGTTCGGCAACCTTTTGTTTAAGTGAGAATGCTTAAGAATGCAGCAATTTTGAAGTAAAGTCAACCACAACTAATGCCATATCCATATAATACTTCTAGTATGGTGTTGGGCACGATCTAGCATCAGTACATAGCATGGTACTATACAAATGAATGCATTGTCTGTAAATAGTAAATACTAAAATATTATTATCTACTAATAACAGTATAAATTAAAATGTTTGCTAATAATGTCTACTAAAATATTTTACTGAATTGTACTTTCAGAAACGCCTATAGTAAAGTTTGTGCTTTCATCAATTCCAATTTAGAGGAAGAGTTTACTTTAAGTTTTCCAAGGCATTACTTAAAGTAGAATGAAACATAAAAACATTAAATGCCATGTGGGACCCAAAAGATAAACTGTTTGATAAAATGTTACAAGCAACACAGCACTTCCAAGTTTTGGAAAAGGTGTCACTTGGAGCTGAAGTCTGGTTTATGACACCTGTAGAAATATCTACAGTGCCATCTCGTGGACATGATGGTTTCCCAAGCAAAATTCAAACATCCCTATGTGTATTATTAATTCAAAAACATTCATTCTCCCTTTTCATTTTTTTGGCCAGGGGAAACAATGTCTATTTCCAGAAAAAATATCTCAGAAATTATATAAATGAATGTGCATTGAAAGACTTGTGTGTCTATTAAGTGGTAAAAAGATTAGGAGATAAGTATACATATTCATTTCTTTAGAGAAAGAGACTAAGAATATTAAAAGACCATGTCAATATGCCAGGATTTCATTTAGACTTCCAAATTTATTCCAAAGTTTGCCAGAAAAAAGAATATTTTTATTACAATACATTTTGTTTACAGAATTTTTTTCCTAAACTGGCTGTATTTGTTTCCTACAGTAGTACTACTGTTCTACAACTAGCTAAGGTCATAGGCACATGGCATCAGTACAAAAGGGCAGCACAACCTAACATAAGGAACAGTAAGGTTTTATTAGCCCTGGACCAAAGAAGAGTTGCTTCTTACACACTGCTCCTTGGATCATTAATTAGCCCAATAATGGTGACAGAATGTTGCACCATTGATTCTTTGCAAGTTCAGAAAATGTTTCCCTGGCTCACACAAAACCCCATTTATAAAACTGGGTGGCAGAAGATGGCACTGTATAATTTTTTTTCTAACTCTGAGCTCTTTGTGCAGAAAAGATGAAGTAAGTTATTTATGTTACCTATTTTTCTCAAGTACACTGATCTCAAATGAGACCAGGGACTGTTGTTAAATACCTTATTGTGGTAATATTTTCTATCAGAATTTGAAAATCAGCATGCTCCATATTTTATAGATTATACTATCTAACAGTCAAAGGAGCACTGAAAGCAGCAAACAATAAAACATATGCAACTGTATTAGGAACATCTATTGAAAACTGCAAGACTATGTATGTTCACCAAGAGGCAGATCTCACTAAGCTCAGTGGGTTTTACTCCCAACAAATGAGAGTACTTTTGCAGAAGAATATTGACATTTTTGCCTGAAAACGGTGACAAGTGGCTGTGAACAGTAACCAATATATTTTGAAATAATTTTATGCTTAGACTTCAATGGTATTTTAAGTAGTACAAACTTTCCAACAAATCAATATAAAAATCTGATTGATGGCTCTTAAGTTTTTTCCTTCAAAAATGATACTATAGAGACCAGCTTTCCTTGTTCCTCTCCTTACCCTTCCAGCACTGTTCAGTTGCTCTTTCACCAAATATTAATTTTAGTTCATTAGCTATACAAAGGAGAGGAGGCAACGCAGGGCTATAAGAGGCATATACAATGAGCCTATTTCTTATAATGGCCTGGTATGCTGAGACTCATGCATCAAGGGCAGAATTGATAAAGCTGAAGTTTTGGATTACAACGCCCATCACTACATTTGGTGTGGTGAGACATCCTACCATATTTATAGAGGATGCCCCCTCTGTTTCTTTACAAAGGGATATTATTCATGAAGAAAGCAATTTTACCATATAATAAGGACATAGACAAGCAATGACTTCTGAAATATTTTATTTTACAAACCAGACAATTTTTGGCCAGCCCCACCTTCTAAGACAAGGGCATATCAATATAATTTTTGATCTGGAATCTTTTTCTCCTTTGTTGTCAGTGATACCATATAAACAGCTAGTGTTAAAGACATATTTGCTTAATTGGTTTTATTTTTTTAAAAGGCATAAAGTTAATGAGTGCACCTGTAGGTCAGTACTGAACTAATTGAGAGCAGCTAAGGGAGGAGAAAAAAGTTTTATGCACACTGATATATGTATTAACTGGAAACAACATGTAGAAGGACACAAAAAAACTAAATAAAAAGGTAGGTTCTTTTACTCTAATACTATTATTATTCAACCCAAATAAGACATTAATTTTCTCTCTCCTGAACTGTTTAATACTGATGAACATTTGTCTCCCATTTTTGGCCTCTATTCTGTGGCTCCCTATGAAGAAATCACTTTGCAAAGGTGTCAATACTTATTTGTTGTGATCTATCCAAAGGCTTCAAGGCTAAGACATTTTAAACAAGCTAATAGCAAAGATCCCAGCTGATTTTTCACCATACAATCTTCTATACTATTGCAGCTCTGGGATAATAACACTTACCTTTTTCTGTGTGGCTTGCTAAATCTCCCTCACAACTTTTGCCTAAAATGGGTTACCCTTTAGCTTATACCTGCTGTATCATATCAACACAAGTTTGGTATGAGGAAAATCGGTTTAGCAATAAAGGAGGAGGAAATAAAGAATGTAAAGGGGTAAAAGGGCAAGAAACACGCAAGGAAAGATCCATGAAAACTTAAAGAGTGGAAAAGAGAGATAATAAAGGGAAAGTGGAGAAGTTCCAAAGTTTAACTTACTCTGAAAAAACATCATATGGGGGTGGGTAGGGCTTTGATAGAAAGTACAGTAGGCTCTTGGTATCTGCTGGGGGTTGGTTTCAGAACCCCTTATGGATACTGAAAACTATATACAATGGTGTGGAAAATCGTGTCCCTTACACAAAATGGAAAAATCAAGATTTGCTTTTGGTAATTTTGGGGAAATATTTTCAAACTGTGTATGGCCGAATCCATGGATACACAATTCTTGGATAAAGAGTGCCAACTGTCTATGTATGCAGAACAATGACTAAAATACGAGGGCAGTTCCAAAAATCAGGTCAGCCTCAAGGTACATTTCTAATATCTGTGATTTCTGCTGTATGTCTTGTAGTTCTATTCTTAAAAATTGACTAGGAAGTAGAAAGCACAGGTCAAAATCCAATGGTGAAACACCTATTTGTTTCAACAGACAAAGGAGATAATTGACTGATTTTTGTGGGAGTGAAGCAATTGGAAGAGAATGTTCAAGTAGTATGCCATTTCTAATTTATGGCAACCCTGAGGTGAAGTCATGACAGAGTTTGCTTGGCAAGATTTCTTGGGGGGTGGGTGGGTATTGTCTATGTTTCTCTAAGACTGAGAGAGAGGGAGGGGGGGAGGAGGGAGAGAGATTTGCCCAAAATCACCCCGTAGTTTTCCATGGCTGAGAGGATATTCAAACCCTGGTCTCAGTTGTAATTCAGCATCCAAATCACTATACCACACTGACTCACTGTAGGACAACTTTGTCTATGTATTCCCACATAATGAAATTATTTGAGCCAGAAAAAGTAAGTGCTCATATTTTTAATTGACCAGAAGATTCTTAAACACTTCTTCAAACACCTCTTTAAACACCTCTCCATTTGCATTCATTTTATATTAGGTACATCTTTACAAGAAAAATATTTGTACTAGAAAGCCCTTCAATTTTTTTAGCAAAATAAAGATACCTGAAGGGTAGTACTGGGGTTCCACATTTGGTGTTAGCTTCATGTTGTAACCCGTTAATTTAAAGTGACTCCACTTCAAAAACAAAACTGTAACTTCCCACTACAAAATAATGTCAAAACCATGGGCTAATGAGGATTACTAAAGAAATATTACAGCACCCTTATTTCTGTTCCCTTTCTACCATTTTGTGGGACTACCTAAAGCCCATAGAAAATAACCAAAATAATGGTTATAGAGGTACAATGTTTGTAATATGTGGCAAGTATTCCTTTCCCCTCCTTTCCCTTAAGATGGGCGTATCAAATACATTTTCACTGAGGGCCACACCAGCCCCATGTTTACCTTTAATGGGTTATTTGCAATTTTAAGACTATATAAATATAACGATGTTGCCCTGGCACTGAAAGCCTTGCAGGCTACATAAAATGATGTGGCAGACTGGATTTGGACCATGGGCCTTGCATTTGACAGAGGCACATGACAAAATATGCACTATTGTTTCAAACTAGGCAGTCATGTTGAAAATCTGAAGGCACCATCACTGTATGATGTGATATGCCTTCAGAAAGTGAAGGCATATCTCAGGATCAATAAAAAGAATGGGATTCTGTATCAGTGTGCATACTTGCATGCTGAAACAAATAAAAAAGCAAGCTTGATGTAAGAGCAAAGAAACACAGATGGCAGGCCAAGAGACCTGGGGTGAAGAAAAAGAAGGATGTGTTCTAAAAGTTTGGTTGTTCTAGTTTGGGGATGGGATCATAGCACAAAATAGCTAGAGTGCCAAAAGTTTCTCCATGCTTTCAGTATGATGGGATACTGGTGGGTAGGCAATAAAAAAGAATGAGGTAACTAATGGGAATTCAGATGAAGTGCAAAAAAGGGGACAGGAAGCATGCATTGTGGAATATAGATAAATGAAAGGGTAGTGTTAACTGTAGAGTGAAGGGAGAGAATGAGATTCAGAAAGCTATAGTCATCTACAGACAGTCCCCAAATTATAAACATCCAACTTACAAATGAATCATGGTTACGAATGGGGGTGAGACAAATAGGAAGTGAGAGAAATCTACTCCTAAGAAGGGAAAATCACTCCTAAAAGAGTTATCATAGGGAAAATATGCCTCCACTGAAGCTTTATCACCAATCCTTGTTTTAACAACAAGCCATTTTAAAAAATCCAATTATTACAGGGACAGAAAATGAGGTTAAATCTTTGAACAGGACACAGACCGCAAAACAAACATGGCAGGGGTATTTTTCAATCAAAGCTATATAAATATGGCTGGAGTTACACTTTAAAAAGTACCTGTCCCAACTTCAACATAAGAACAACATACAAATTCAACATAAGAACAAACCTATATAACCTAACTTGTTCATAATTGGGGACTGACTGTATAGTAAAATGCAAAGATAGAAATACAGAGATAAAAACAAAGAATGGAATATGGAGAAAGACAAATACATTATCAGGAAAAATATATGTCTTAAGTTAATAAAAAAAGTTAAAATTGTCCTTCAGAAATATTTGAGTTGTGTGCCCTGCTTTAGACTTCTAAAATATAATATATAACAAGTGTCTCAATACAGGTAGAGAAAAATAGATTTCTTGTTCTGAGGGTGAAAATGGTATTTTCAGGATATCATCTGTATGGATGGAAAAACCATCATAGTTGAACTATTTGCCATTAAACAGAAATAGAAATCGCCACAAATGATATACTCTAGTGAGTTTGTGAAGATGACAAATGTTTGTGCATTAAACCTGCACAGGGTTGGGGAGAACCATTTTGCAGACTCCATCTCATTTACTTATTCTAGCTACCAACACTTATAAACTAAGACCAACCATTAGTAAAGCAACCTCTGTGTGTGATCTTATGAAAAGTGATTTAAGACACTAGGGATCCCAGAGATGCAAAATTGTGAATGTGGTTCTGTAGATCTAACACAAACTAAGATATATCAGGTATTCAAATGAATTTGTATTATCTAAACCAGGAAAAAGTGGTTTGGGCAGATTTCATCACACTACTTTTGCATAACTGCCCTTAAAAAAACACCATATGCCTTGCATTATGCACTTTAATCTTTCAGGAGAATGTATAAACTTGTATGCACAGAGACAGTAGGGTAGAAGAAGATGAAGAAAGGGAAAGGATCACAAGTGATCTCTTCAAGCAATAATAAAGATGCAAAAAAGAGCACTTTTGCAAAAGTTGAAGGTTAAAGAACAAGATAACCCAGAAAGAATATCTACATAGTCCTGAAAAGCCAGTACATGGCATGCTCAACCACATTAGCAGCTGTCAGTTGGACTCAAAATAAAAGATAATTTATCTAAGAAGGGCATGTTGAATTTCCAAGATAATCCTCTGCTCTTTTTTTTTTTTTTACAAAACAGCCTGGGGAAAAAAGATATTCACAGCAATAAAAAGCTGTAAAATTCTAACTGTTTACACAACAATGTAAGTTGAAGGATATCAGCTACAGAGCGGACATTTCTGAAGCTGAGCACCTTTCAGAACAGTTAAACTCACCACCACAGTGGAACGCAGAGCACCCCAGGTAAAGTAAGAGCCAGTAGCAGCATCCGCCAGTCTCTGATGAAGTAAGCAAATAGTGGCAGCAACATGTAGCCAATTGCAAAAAATATGCAAACTCCTAACGTAGAGAATATAATACGAACTGATTTGCCAAGAATTTCTGAGCCTGTTCAAAACAAGGAGTGTGGGTTAGCATCTTAACTCTGTTTTTGAAAAAATTACCCAATATTTTATTGCATTTTGAAATAAATACAGTCTTTAAAATGCAGTCATTTGTCCAATAACATGGACTAAAATTAAGCTAAAGCCTAAAAGAAGTTTAGCTGGAAATTCTTCAGACACGACTCTTGCTTATTGTGTAATTCACAATAAAACTTTTAGGAGGAAAAATAAGTTACTTGGAAGGTGAATACCAAACACTGTTGTATCATTTCTGAGAAAGTATTTCAACATAATTTAGCTTGGCTTTGGTAGTAGAGCTGAACAAGATTCAGCAGGTTTCCGGTAACAACCAGTTATATATATCTAAGCAAAGGAGGGGAACCTATCCACTACACCTCCCATCATTCCTAAACACATTGGGTAGGGATGCTGGGAGTTAGAATTCAGTATGTTAAGGGCCACATGTTACCTTGCTCTCCAGGCATGGAGATGTTGGCAATTCTATTTGTCTTCCAGCAGATTACATGAATATCTAAGCTTGTAGAAATGGGGCTGTCACAGATAACAATCAAGGACAGACATTGTTTTCTATGAATTTGTCTAATTCTCTCCCACCAAACCCAAACACACTGGAGGCGAAATCCATGGTGCATTGTGTGACATATCTGTTTCTTTTATTGGTCTTTGAATGGAATGCAAATTTTCTTCTCTGGTTAGCCTGGACTTTTGGTATTAGTTAGAGAAAATCCTTTCTTCCCAATTTCTCTAAATAATTTATACTTTTATAAATATAACTGATTTTCATTTATTTTAATAGAGCTGCTTTGAAGTACTCAAAAGTTACCATGCTCAGCAGAATGTATATATTCTTTTAAATATAAAAACTAATGAAAAAAACATATATGACAGCCACCATTGGAAATAAGTATTCCCTTTCATCTCATGGACAGAAAGAAGTGTATACTGATGTCTTCTACAAGGTCTATGTAAATTCTCTAAAAAACAAAGAAGAAATGATAGGCCCAGTTCCATCATGGTTCCATCATAAAAATGAAAGACCCTCGACCCCAACTGCCACTGCCCTAGCCGTAGAGGGAGAGAAGAGGCAGGCACAGCTCCAGGCCCAGAGAGATATTAAAAGTCCTCTGTCTCTTCCAACTACCACTGCTATGGCTGCAGAGAGAGAGAGAAGCAAAGGTAGTATCTCCACTTGAACTGTCTCAGTTTTAGCCTGAGAGGGACAGAAGACAAAGACCCAGCTCCATTATAAGTAGGGTCAGAGGAAGATGAAATACCCTCCCTCCCAACTGCCACTGCCCTGGCTACAGCGGGAGAGAAGAAAAGGCAGTTTCTCCTGTCTTAGCCCCCTTCCACAGTGCCATCCCTTTTCCTGTTCTCAATTAGATTGTAAACCTGAGAGCAGGGAACTGATCTGTTGTTCTTTTATTTGTAAAGCTTCACGCACAATGATAATGCCAGATAAAGATATGGTTATGATGAAATAATGTGTGCATTTTGGGTTTAGAATTATCATTTGGACTCTCAGGCACCTCTGCAATTTTAAATCAATTAGTTAACTAAAATTAAATTAAGTTATTTTAAAACCAGAAGACACTTTTATTACAAAATTAACAAACAAACGTTCTAGTTCTGTTTTATTAGTTTAAAAATTATTGAGGGACATGGAAAAATACTACTCAGAATTCACACTGACAAGGAACTGGCAACATTTGCTGAGTCTGCATGGTTTATGGAAAAAAAAGAAGCAAATGCTTTAATCTCGCCCTGCTGTTGTTTCCCCAGCCCCCTCAAATACCTTTTGCACCCTGCAATGTTTAAACCTGTGTTTTACAAAGTACGTACAATGCTGGTCAACATTATTATTCCTCTACTGTGGACTGGAAGAAGTCCTGGAGATAATACACTTGTCCCAAACTCCCTAATACGTCGGCAACCTTGAATGCCACTCTGTTTGCCGCAGAACTTACCCTGAACATAACTGTTACCGTTACTCTGTTAGTAAAAGTTTATTGTATTTCTTTTTGTATAGGTAACATAACATTACTATAAACCAGAGCTTTCATGTTGGTAACATATTTTTTAGACATGCATCATTTCACAACACAGTAATTCAGTTTTATTAGCAAGCCAGAGGTTAAATGTACTCCTTTATAAAAGATACAAACACACATACAAATAATAAAATGTATGGGGACATACCATATCTCATGAAAACCTTTCATTTATATCTTTAAAAGTATATAATTTTTAAGATAATAACATACATTTCCAAGACACTTACACACTGTAGCTGACACAGTAATGTGTCACAAATCACAGTTTGGGAAGCCCTACTGTAAACTGTTCAGTCCCTGTCTAATGTAACATCAAGCAAACCAAGTTTGCTTACCATACCACCTGCCAGTGGTGTGGCAAACTGGAAAAGCTAGTGATTATTGAAATCTATGTATCTGTCTGCTTTTAATGAACATCTTATTTTTATATCCTGTCTACTGAAAGAAATCCAACTAAACAAATACACATCAGTTCATATATTTTCAATTTAATCTACAGAATTAGGTCAGTTAATTAATGGAAAATAAAATCTTTATGCTTGACACTTATTTAAAAACAAGTTACCATATATATGAAGGCTCTTAAAAGTAGAACTTCATTTTCTTAATTAATGTAATGTTTAGCATTAAATGCTATTGTTACTTTCTTTTCCTTTAAAAATAAACAAACAGCTTTATTGGCTAAAATTTATTGGAATTTCAGTTTCTGGACTACAGCAAATTACTATCTAATCAACTGAAGATATTAGGAGCCCCCGGTGGCGCAATAGGTTAAACCCTTGTGCGGGAAGGACTGAAGCCTGACAGGTTTGAATCCAGAGAGAGCACGGATGAGCTCTCTCTGTAAGCTCCAGCTCCCCATGTGGGGGCATGAGAGAAGCCTCCCACAAGGATGGTAAAACATCAAAGACATCCGGGCATCCCCTGGGCAACATCCTTCCAGACGGCCAATTCTCTCGCATCAGAAGCGACTTGCAGTTTCTCAAGTCGCTCCTGACACAGGAAAAAAAACAAACCTGAAGATATTTAATAAAGATTTATTAAACAAGTGCTAATGAATGTCCTTGTGGAGATAAAAAGTGGTATATAAATAATAATAATAATAATAATAATTTCTAGGCCTATGAAAAGTAGCAAATTCAATGACAGTATACAGTAAAGAGTACAGACTTCAACTAGGATCCAAAGAATAGTACATTCTTCCAAGAGATATTTGATTGTGTGTTTTTAAGAACAGCAGGTCCTATGCCATGTACTTACAAAAATGCTAGACTTCTGACACTTCAGACATGACAGCTTTACTCAGGTTCCATATAGACACAGTTGATCAATTTTACTTGTTAGTGCTAGCACATCGCGGATAACTATCCTTCACTAACACTAATTGAAGTTTTTTCCAGGATTCCAATTCACCCCAATCTACTTAACAGTAGTATGAAGCCATGCGGTGTGTTTTGGAATGAGGAAAGGAAAGAGGAAACCTCAAAAGTACAAAGCAAATAATGAACTGTGTTGTCTAAGGCTTTCATGGCTGGAATCACTGGGTTGCTTTGAGTTTTCCGGGCTGTATGGCCATGTTCCAGAAACTTCTGGAACATGGCCATACAGCCCAGAAAACTCACAGCAACCCAAATTATGAACTGTCAAAGGATGACAGCTGCTTGAAGTCTAGAATGTTTTTTTTAAGTTCAAAAATAAACACATGGTTGAGGAATCTCAAAAACTGCTTAGTATAGCTGTATACAGCCTACAGACCATAGCTTCCTTAACCCTATACTATGACTGTATTGTGTAAGCATGCTAAATAGTAGTCTGGCATGTGCACAATCTAAAAGGAGAAAATGAGAATTTCAACTTTATATTCTTCTCCTGCTACTCTCATGCAACCAGGAAAAGGGCTTCAGAATCTTTCATTTCCTTCTATGTTTAACAGTGGTTTGTAATTTTGTCAAAAGCAGCATTATTTTCATGAAAAACCTTATTTTTCACATTATTAACTTGAAAGAAGTCTGCATAGAAAAATATTATTTAGTGATTCAGGTTTTTTCCTAATATGGTGGGATAATAAAGAACTTGCAGTAATAAAGTTAATTTGCTAGTCCGGTCAGGGGGCTGGGTTTGGTTCCAGTGAGAAAAACTGTCTATCTGAACACCACTGTATGACCTATCCACATAACCCAAGAGCCACTGTACAAAATCAAAGTTATTTTTACAGGAGAAATCAACACAAATTAGAAACCTGAAAAGGGCAAAAAATGAACAATTCTGCATCCAAATTCTAATGATATTAACAGAAAGCAACAACTACCCACACAGCATTATCATCATAATAATCATCACTGTTGAAATTTAAGAGCCTGAGGTGAAGTGGTGTATTTTATGAAAGGTTTCTAGAAAAGATACTTTCAAAACCTGATGAAGCTAATACAAAACTCCTTTATTGTTAATTATTTTATCAGAAACAAAGAAGATCTCTAATAAAGAAGTGTTAAGAGATTCAGAATTTTTGAAGGTTTTCTGCAACTATGGATTTCTACTTCAAGAAGCCTCCAACACGCTTCTGGAGTCCAAGATTACTCAGTTTATCAAGTAGCGTGTGAACAAAATTCTTAGGAACGGAATCTGTCTTGAGGATACATTATGGGGAAAGATCAAAATGCACATTGTGAACACTGAATGAATATAGGTCCTCATAATCCAGTAATGGCCAGATGTTTTTTTTAACAGCCATTTGTTGCTCATTAATTTCTCAAGCACTTCCTGAGCATTAACCATGAGTTCTTAGTGTATTGCATTTTAATTAGGGGTTTTATGCATAATTTGTAAAGTGGTGTGATTTTTAGTTTGTAAATCACTTTAAGATCATAGAGAACAATTCAAAACCAGTTATTGTTTTTGCTTCACAAATTTACAATTAGTACAAACTGTTTTTCAGCTCCTCTCCTTTGTCCCCCATGGTTTACAGTGACTGAAGGCTACAATATATGAATGTTCTCTAGCAAAGTAAAGCAAAACAGGGAAAGGAAACAGGTACAAATGGAGAATGTGGACAAGGTCTAAGTATTTGTAATGTTTAAAGAAATGAATGCTTTCTCAGTCTATGGTGCCTATCACAATGAAAAAAGATTTTGTTTAAACCCCACTGATAACTTCTTAGGAAGTGTGAGATGCTCTTAGCTTAGTCTAACACTTCAAGATATTAAAAATACCATGGCATATATATTTGCAACTTAGCAAGAAATGGAACTGTACTTTTAAAAAAATGCAGTATCAACATAACTTTCAACTTTTTAAAAATTCATTCTGGTGATGTTCACTATTATTTTCTGTTCCAGGAGGAAAAAAGTAGTGTGCAACAATTTAAGGAAACACAATTTTGCTTAACAACATAAAGAGAACAAATAAAAGGGCCCCTCATTAATAATTTCATATAATGGAATAATAGTTAGATGAAAACATTCTGTGGGAATTTTCATTCAAAGGAAGTTGGGCTATATGAATACATCGGTATCAATGAACAATGACCAAACTGATAGAAAGTAATGTTTGCAATACCTAGGGTCAGAATGTGTTAAAACTATCGGATCAGTCATCAAACAACAATGCAAATGGCATGCAAAAAACAATAAATTTCATCAAAGGCATATTTTTGCATCGTAAAATGTTGACTTGGTCAACATTTGAATTCCTCTTCCTTCAATCTCTTGCTTATCTTCCACACTCCAAGACTTTTTGCTGTGATATTCTCTACAACATCATGTGCAATGGCAGCATAATATCAATACAAATAGATAACATGGGATATCTAAAGAAGTGGGGATGTTCTTCATAAAAGTTATTATTTTCTATCTCTTTTCATTAATAGAATGGGCAGACATTTATTCTCCCAAAGAACGCACATTTTCAAAAATCTTATTCAAGTTATTTTTGGTTTATAAAAACAAAACCATCTAAGTGTTACATGCTCTGTATTTTTTCTGGCTGAAGACAGCTTAACTTTTCTCTCCTTGATCAATTTCCCAATGAATTATGCTACACAGAATATCTCAAATGTTTCCTTATGTTAATCCTGACATTCATGTTTAAAAAGTAGGTTTGTGCAATGTCATGTAATTTGGCTCTGGGTATTAAATCCAAATCCCCGATCTTCGGAACTAATAGTACATATAATGGACAAAGCATTAAAACAGTGGTCCAAAATCTCAAGCTTAACCCTTTCACCATTAAGCCAAAATAACGGCACTTTTTATTTTCTTCTCAATGATGTCAGACAAGAGAGCAATCAATTCTCTTTACTCAGTGGTCTTCAATGCATAAAGAAAGTGCTTTCTACAAAACAATCATTTCTGTCTAATTGCTTCAGCACACTGAAACCACCATGCTAAATAGCTGAAATGAATGAAAATGGTCTTACCTAATATGAAGGCCACAACGTAGTTCGAAATCTGCCCCATGCCAACTATAAGAAAAAGCACTGTGAACATTTCCCAGCTGGTTGAGAAGATCTGTAGGAAGCTGAAACCTGTCTGCACACCCATGGTTGCAAACAGAATAGCCTTTCTGCCAAACCTTATAGGGAAAAGAAGATACAAATAAATAAGAAGACTGAAAATGAATCCATGGTATTATTGTCAAGTGATTCCAGTTCAAGAAGTAGATGATGTTCCTCCTTTTACAAATAAAGGCTGCTACTCATCTGTGCTGAAGGAAATGGAGACCCTACTCTACTTTTAGAAAGCTTACAAGAACTTGTGTCCCAGGGCAACATCTGTCTCCAGCTAACATATCACAATCATACCATAATCACAGTAGTTAGAAGGTGTTGTCATGAAGCATCAATTAACAAGGCAAATCTTCTGAAGATTAGGCCACAAAAATTGTGCAAGTTCCTCAGCAATGTTTTGTGATGAACACATGGTGGCAGCATGTCATCCTTGTTATTAACATTATTAATTTACTCTTGATAATAAATGAAATCTGCATTTAGGGAATAACCAATATCTGTTATATTCAAGCTGAGGGAGGCAGATTCTAAGTTACTGATTGCATCTCAGAAGGAATATCACCAACATGTATGAATCCAGAAGTTTCATAGAAACATAGAGTTATGACTGTCCTTTTTCCAAAACATACGAATTACTACAGCTCATTTAAGCACAGGTAGGTCCAAATTAGTTTTAAATGAAAGTTATGATGTTCACACATGTTGCAGATAATACTTGTCCATGTAAACATGTTTCTAGAACCCTGAACACATAAAACAGTATTTCAGCCAAAGGTTAAGCACATTCCTCCTTAACTTCCTTAAACACAACTCTCCTGGGCTGTAAAATTACTACTTTGCATATGCAGCTTGCTCACACTTAAGTATTACTCCTTCCAATTGTATTTTGCTCTCCATTACAAGGATTGCGAAATCCTTGTAAGTAATGTTTAACTTCAATCACATTCATCTTTACTGTGAACAAGAATGTGTTTTTAAGCAATCCCTCATCCTCTGTAAATATATGCATTTCATACTCACACCTATATCCACAGTAAGTAGGTACACATTCATGAAATTATAGGATGCAGTTGGCAGAAAAGTCTGTTATCAGTTTTTAAAGACTGTGGTATGCCACATGACTCTGAAAAAGCAAAGGGAAAATTCATCCAAACGTGGTTGATTGTTTGAATTCTGCTGCCATATTGTTAAGTGAATATTCTTGGAATTGGTTCAGATCACCATAGCAGGAATTGTCTCTGAAATTGAGCACTGTTTTGCTTTAAAATAGATTACGAAAGATGAAAACAAAACTTTAGGAGAACAGATTAGTTGCATGTATGTTACCTGTCGGAAAGTTGTCCTGATATAAAAGATCCAAGCAGCACTCCCACAAAGAACAAAGATGTCGTCAGGGGGACTTTCCAGTCATCATCGCATACTAGATTCCACTATAAAACAAAAAATAGAGCACATTCCATTTCATTTTCCATAAATTATGGAACACACTTAATATGTTTATTAATCATATTGATAAGACTCTGGTGGTGACTGACTTTCAACTTCAGGGAAGAGATCTTGGGAATGCGGTAAAGAGGATGTGGAAAATGCTAATGCAATCCTGAAAAATACACATTCAGACAATGTAGAAAGGCATAGTCTACTTCAGAAAGGCATAGTCTACTTCAGTGATTAATAAAAACTAAAACATAGTATAATATATAATACAGCTTCATCTGGAAACTATTGTTTTCATTTCAAAAAGGTACATTACTGTAAAGCTAGAAGAACTGCAACAAAGGAAAATAAAATGGATTAAAACTGATGGGTATATCAGTATCCTAGGAAGTAAGGACATGGTGCTTAGTTTGAAAAAGAAGACAGAACAGGCAAGTGAAGATTATGCCAAGAATTTGAAATACACTGTATGGTATAGGCAAGCAAAATACAGAGATTAAAAAACTCCAGTATTTAAAAACTCTAGAATTACAACAGCAAAACAGCAGAGAGGAAACAACCAGGCACATCTTAACACCTCTCAACAAAAGATTTTCCCAGGCTCAGCCAGGCCTTCAAATGCTAATAAAGGTGGTCAGTTGAAACATTCACACCTAGCTCCAGCAGAGAAAAGCTCTTTGACCCACCCCAGCCATTCCACAGATATATAAACCCATTGTTCTAATACCAACAGACCTCACTACCTCTGAGGATGCTTGCCATAGATGCAGGCGAAACGTCAGGAGAAATGCCTCTAGAACATGGCCCTATAGCCCGAAAAAAAACCCCACAAGAACCTAGTGATTCCAGCCATGAAAGCCTTCGACAATACAAAATACAGAGATTTTTCACTGGAAGAATCCCCTGCTTTCCAAGCTTTATTATTATGAATCACAGAGGAAGAAATTAGCAGTAAACTCAGTACAGACAGGGGCCCCCGGTGGCACAGTGGGTTAAACCCCTGTGCTGGCAGGACTGAAGACTGACAGGTCACAGGTTTCTATCAGCTCCAGCTCCTCATACGGGGACATGTGAGAAGCCTCCCACAAGGATGATAAAAACATCAAATCATCCGGGCGTCCCCTGGGCAACGTCCTTGCAGACGGCCAATTCTCTCACACCAGAAGCGACTTACAGTTTCTCAAGTCGCTCCTGACACGACAAAAAAAAAAGTACAGACATATACAAAAAAATCTTAGTTCACACAAGGTGAATGTATAGAATTTTCTACTTCAAACTGTGATGTTACTCAACAACTTGGAACTGTGCTGTATGAGATTAGTAGTTTTTGAAGGCATCAAGAAGTCCATCTTATCAACCATATTTTTCCTGGCCACAAAGGTGAGATTAAACTCCCCAAACTCTAGATTCTGTATGATCTTGGAGGCTAAGCTGGGTCATTACTCAGGTGGCAGATCAGGGAATACCGGGTTCAGTAAACTACATTTCAGAGGAAAACAATGACAACTCACTTTTGAGTATTCCTTGCCTACAAAGTCTGTGAAACTCATGGAGTCAGCATAACATGGAGGTATAGGTATAAGGACAGTGCAAATTCGTGAACTTTTGTATTTTTTCTGTCTCTTTCTTAGTAATGATGCACTGCTACTAGTGCAATATAATCATTCATTGTGAATTGTCAGTTAAAAATCAATGATATGAGAAATTAATATGATGATGAGGCTCTACAAGTTAAAAAGAAACTGAGCTGCTTCATCACTGTGGATTTGCTTGTGTATACAGAGTATATAGGCATCTTCTAAAGATAAAATCAATACTCCACAACTCTAGGCCAAGTAGGCTTCAGATGAAAGCAAAAAAACAGAAAACAGAGAGATGCCAACAGCCACATCTCCTCCCACAGAAATTGGTTACAACTTGTATGAGCCCTGGAGGATGCATGCATCTGGAAAACACCAGTAAATATCAAATTATTTGTAGCAAGGTAGAAATTAACCACTAATTTCTATTGTGTTCTTTTATTGCAAACAGAGATTTTACTCCAAGATCTGATAATTGGACAAATACGGAATTCTTTGTTTTCCCCATAAGCCAAATGCAGGTTCATTTTCAACCAAATAAAATGTATATGGGTATAAAACAGGAAAATATAGTCCTAAACTACTGGAGCTTTTCAAGATCACAGGCAGGACTTTAAATTGTGTTTGCATATGCAGGTGTGAAATTCTGAGTGATATGCTCAAGCGTCCCAGCAATGGATAACCTAACTACCAAGTTCTGGACAAACTAAACTTTGCCAAAAACCTTAGAGCTGCCGCAAACTAGGCTCCTGCGGGAGCAAACCTTGCCAGCACGTCCCTGACGTCATGAGACTCCGCCTCTCGCCCCGCCCCTTTCTCAGCCTCTTTCTCCGTGCCAGAGTGGTTTTTCCTTTGCTAGGGCAGCATTGCCAGCGTACTCTCTCAGTTGGCAGAATTCAACTGAGAGAGTATGCTGGCAATGCTGCCCTAGCAAAGGAAAAACCACTCTGGCACGGAGAAAGAGGCTGAGAAAGGGGCGGGGCGAGAGGCGGAGTCTCATGACGTCAGGGACGTGCTGGCAAGGTTTGCTCCCGCAGGAGCCTAGTTTGCGACGGGTCTAAGAATCATACTTTCTCAAACCATGGATGCTGATGGTCATTCATCATGGAGATCAGAATGGCAAAACTAGGTCTAAAACCTTCAGATAATTAACTTTATCAAAAATACCTAGATGCCATGGCATACTCAAATATTGCCATTTCCATATGCTTTTTTTTTTAAAAAAGGATAAAACTTGGATGGGCTCAGACTCTTTCATCCACCTAGAGTTAGCATTTTCCATTCACTAGCTAGCTGTGGTGGACTAAGAGCCTTCCTGCAAATGGTTGCTCTCAATATTCCTAGATGTTTGGGTGTCCTTCATAATATCACTGAGCATGGACAAAGTGAAATAGAAAGAAAGAGGGAAAGGAGATCAACCTGTCTCACCAGCTACCTTGGCATGGTAAAAAGCATAGCCCTGTAAGTATGGCTATCAAAATGGAAATCATAAAAAGTGATGGCTATTGGGGAAAAAATCACAGAATGCATCTTGGAAGGTTTCAATAGAAAATTAAGAATGTTTTTGTTTGTTTGTTTATGCAAGGCTTACTTGCCTTGATTATTTTGTTTTCCATGTGCATAGCCACTCTGAATCCCATTTGAGAGAAGAAGATTAAATAAATATACAGGTAGTCCCCAAGTTATGCACAATATAGATTCTGTAGGTTTGTTGAAGTGTAACTCCAGCCCTATCTATCTATCTATCTATCTATCTATCTATCTATCTATCTATCTATCTATCTATCTTTGGATGGCATAAGGATAGTCTAACACTCCTGCCATGTTTGCTTTGCTGTCTATGCTCCTGTTCAGAAGATTTCACCTCACTTTCTGTCCCTGTGATAATTGGATTTTGAAAAATGTGTTTTGTTGTGGAAACAATTATTGATTATAAAGCTTCTGTGGAGACACCTTTTCCCCATGAGAACTCTTTCAAGGGTGATTTCCCCTTCTTAGGGGTAGATATCTCTCACTTCTTGTTGTCTCACCCCATTTTTAACTGTGAGTCGTTTGGTGGGTTGGATGTTTGTAACTTGGGTACTGCCTCTATATATAAATGCAATGATGTTTTTGAATAAAAAGTATTTGCTGAAACTTTTGAACTGCCCATCTTTTTGTGGGGTAAGAACTTTCCTCTACTTGTTTTCATAACACATCTACTTCATTAACCAAGGTATATCTGAAGTACTTAATAGCATTCCTCTCACACGCCTATGCTCAAATACTTTCTTCTATGCTTTGTTGTTGTTGTTGTTGTGCACCTTCAAGTTGTTTTCAACTTAAGGCAATTCAAAGGCGAAGCTATCATGGGGTTTACTTGGCAAGATTTGTTCAGAGGAGGGTTGCCTTTGCCTTCTGTTGCGGCTAAGACTATAGGACTATATGAGTGGGTTTCCATGTCGAAACTGGGATTTCAACTCTGGTCTCCAAAGCTTAAACCACTACATACCTCATGCTGCCTCCATGTTACAGTATAAAGTTATAGTAATATCTACTATCTTCCAAGCAACTGCTAAGACCTGGATGTTTCAAATGGCATGCCAGGAAATGACCTTCAATATATCCTAAAGGTTTCTGCTTCCCTTTTCTTTCCAAGAGAGAATGGAATCTCTAGATCCTCCAGTGTGATTCTATGTTCATCTTCTGGCAGAAGGTGATCATATAGTCATCATGAAGAACCTAGAGGCTCATAGAGAGGTGTTCTCTCTGGTTGAAACAGTAGCAATATTTTTATTTGCAATTTTTCACTTTGTGGGGACTCTGTACCCTTAACCCCAGCAAATGTTAGGGGCTGGGAATTCACACCAATCTGCCCAGCATTTTAAACAACCAATCAGACCTTGCAATTTTTTACATTCTTTAATTTAAAACAACCAAAATGTGTTATAAAACAAAGTAAAATACATTTTTTTTCACCAGAGACTTTTAATTAATCTAGTGATTAGACTTGGCTCTTTTACAAATTGCTGAATTTGAGAACAATTTTAAATGTCTCTGTACAAAACAACTTGCACAGCATTTTAAAAGGAACTATAACAATGGGTAAATCACCCAATAATATTCTCTTCAACATAAAAAGATTTTATTTTGGAGTTTAGCAGGATTTTCCCCTGAGTGTACTAGGGACCCAACATCGTATTTGTAACCATTGATGAACGTTTCTGGAACATGGCCATATAACCCGGGATTTTGTGTGTATATGCTGGAGTTACACTTAAAAAGGTATTTGTTCTGACTGGCATATAAATTCAACTTAAGAACAAGCCTACAGAACATATCATCTCCATAACTTGGGGACTGCACGTACTTCTTTCTGTTCCCAAAAATGTTTCCTTGTACAATACACCTGAATATGTCCTATCTAGCCCCTA